AAATCCACAATATGAGGTGGTTTGAAGGTGGGAAGCATGAGAAATCGCAATGCAGGCATGAGGTGGGACAAAACTATAGTCAACCAGTAAGAAGATTACGAGTGTAATTGCTCAGGTAAAATTGGTTAAATCAGGATCAAATGGGAAAGCAAGTCATGTAGCAAGTGGGCATGAATACAGAACAGGGGCTTTTCCTGTAGGGCTTGGGTTAGTGGCTCTTCCTGGCTTTCTCGAGGTGATAGAGACCTATTTAGAATATCAATTCCTGATGGCTATCCTTAGGGAGGTATGTGGATGCATTAGTTTTATCTTTTGTCTTGAGATCTGGCCCACAGTGGAGGTATCTCTCTCTCCCACAGTTGCAAGAGTTGCAAGGCATCTCATCTTCTGCTCTGGCTCCTTCGAGGGTCTAGCCCTCTCTGATTGCCTATAATATTTTATTGAATTTAGCTGCCTATAACAGTTGGATGCAGGGGGTGGGCTCAGGAGAGAGAGAGCTAGCTCCAGGGAAAATGTGGGCAGGAGAGGGGACAGAAAGGTGACTCAAGAGCAGCAGTGAGTGAAGTGCCTCAGGATCAGGAGTCCTATGCAACCCAGGGGATGTATCTGAGCTTCTTGGAGGCCAGCCACATGTAAATAGAAGGGGAGTGCTGTGCCCTACTTGCCTGACCCCCCCAGCCAGTAGCCGTCCTGGAATATGAAAAGATGGCTGCATTTTATTTTTCTTCCAGGGTATTCCTCTCTGACAGTGACAGGTGCCAAAAACTTGGGGTGTCAGAGAAGGGGATGAGAGACGAAGAGCCAAAAGGAATAATGATATAAGGAGGGTGAGTCCAGAGGACAGGAAATGATTAGCAGCCCAAGGAGCACCTGGAATTTGGGTATCTGGATCAGCAAAAGCATTTACTGGGCATCCGAACTGAGAGAAGGAACACAAGGTGCCACAGTGTAGCCCTGGAACCGCCATGAACTGCGCCCCTGTGTGGCATGCTAAGCAGTGAGGGAGCTAAGCTTGTCCCCTGGGACAGAGAAGGGCTCTCTCTGTGTAGGAAGGAGGGATGTATGGGGGACTGGCTGGTGGTAAGCATGCACTGTATGCTAGTTTCTTTACAACAAACTTTATTTATGCTCTCCATATTTTTTTAAATGAGGAAACCAAAGCTTTGAGAGGGTAAATTATGAGCGTTAGACCGAACAACTTAGCAAGTGGCCAAGCGGTATATAAAAGCCCAGTCCAGCACAGGAGCCCGTGATCCCTGTGTAGTGCTGCAAAGGGACAGAGAAAGATCTCAGAAACCTGGATCTGAGTGTGGGGCAGAGCATCAGCTGGAAAAGGGAAGTGGCCAGATATCCAGGATGGCAGGAGGTTGTGGTCCTGTCTCCAGCTGGGCCATATCTGGCTTGCTTAACTTGGCAAGCCACCTGAGTCGTACGAGGTTGTCTCCTTTGTAAATTGGGGAGGTGCCATGCTCACATTTGGTTGAGAAGCTCCTGCTAAGAAAGTAAGGTTTAGAATCTGGTGAGTCTTTTTCTTGTGAGCCCAAAACACTGTTCATTAGTGGATTCCAGCAGATGCTCAGATAAAATATGTATAGTGTGCAGAATGCTGTTAACATTTAGAATTGGTTTTACTCATGAGGGCTAACTAAGCCAGCTTTAGGTGCTAACCAATTCAAACAGCAGTAGCTCCCAATTTGCAGAACAAACCAAAAAAATGTGGCCTTTGATCCTACTTATTTGTAACACTGAAAGATCCATGTAAGTTGGGGCTGTGGGTCTACCCACAGAGCTTTACCAGATCCACCAGCACAGGGCAGCACTTTGAAGTCTTCTGATTTTGTTGCCTCCTTGACCCAGGGACTGTCACCCTTCCTTTCCACCCCTCCCCACCAGAGCCCTTCCAAGCTACAGGAGCCAGGGCTGCCATCCGAAGGTAGCGGACTGGGGTTCAGCAACAGAAAGTTGTTTTCTCAGAGTTCAGGAGCTCTCTGGCCTTGGCCTTAGATGGTTGTCTTCTCCCTTGCCTTCACGTCCTTGTGCTTCTCCTTCTCTGCATGTGGATGTCTACTCAGTCTCAGTCTATCTGTTTGTCTCTCTCTTTATCTTCTTTGTATGTATCTCCCCTCCCGCTTCCTGTTTCCCACCTTTTCTTCCTTCCTATCATCCTAATCTCTTCTTATAAGGGCACCCGTCAGATTCCATTAGGATCTACCCTCATCATTTTAACATAATCACCTCTCTAAAGGCCAAACACAGCCACACCCTGAAGCTCTGGGTGTTAGGACTTCAAGGTTTGAACCTGAAGAGACACCATTCAGCATTTCTCAACAGATGTCCTCCTCACTCCTGACCGGGTCACATCTGCCCTGATAGACGCCTCTTCTTCCCTTGATGTGTCTCTCTTCTAATTAGATATTCTTGCCCATGTGAGTTGGGAGGACCATGACTGGTGACACCAAATTTTCTTTCATTTCATTTGTTGCACCTCCTCACTCTACCGCTGTCTGATACAGCCCTGTGCTCTGGCCGATGTCCATCAAACACCACTTGTTGTGGACTCTGCACCCCTGTTGACCACTGACCACTGACCACTGCTTTCCTTAAGTCAGATCTCCCTTAGTTCCTGGGTCCTCCTCAACATCCCCCCAGCCTTCCTACCATGCCCGCAGCCATAGTGCCCTGACTTTCTGCCACATCTGAGCAGGCGTATCGTGCTGGCTGGATAACATGCCGTTTTTTTCTTTCTATTTAACTTTCCTTTTGAAAGACTGTCACTTCAGATTTGCAGAGAAAAATGCAAAAGTAAAACAAATATTTCTCACATGCCCTCCATCCTGGTTCCTCACATTTTAACATTTTACTGTCTGCTCTTTCCTATGTTCCCTTTTCCTCATTTTCCTCTACCCCTCTACATACATGTGCACACACATGCATATATATAAATATATACCGTTTTATGAGCAGTTTTTAAGAAAGTTGCACCCACAGACCCTCTATACTTAAATACTTCAGTGGGAATTTTTCCTAAAAATAAGGAAGGTCTCATATAAAGAGCTTGATTATCAAAGTAGGAAATTAATATTGATACTAATTCATTGACCATATCCAAGTGTTGCCATTGTCCTAGAAATGTCCTGTAGGGACCCACAGGGTAGAATAGAGCATCCTGTGGACCAGTACATCTTAATGTTTAGGGCTCGGCTGATAAGGCCTGCTGTGTTACATTGGTTTGGGTCTCTCCTCAGACCCTAGGCTGGTAGCATGTGCTGGGCACATAGGCCTTCAGTAAGTTTTTGGAGGTGGACAGATGGATCACAGAGGGAAGTGAGCCAGGATGGCTGTGGGAAAACCACGTAACTGTCGCCATCAGCCATGTGATCTCACAGTGTGCTTCTGCAAGGGGTTCCCCCTTGCAACAGTCCTCTTGGAGCATTCAGCTGGGTAGCAGCACCCTCCCCTTGGTAGAAATGCACAGCTGATCATTCACAAAGCTGACCACCTGCCAGTGGTCACAGAGCCACTGCCCATGCTGCTGCCCCTCTGTGATCTGCAGTGGGTGAACCACTGTCAATATCAACCTGTTTATTCATTCAACAGATAGCTGCCAGGCTCATTAGGTTTACAATAGTGAGCAAAAAGGGTCCCCGCTCTCAAATAGCTCACAGTGTAGTGGGAAGGGCAGACACTAAATAAAGAAAATGTATAGTTTGTCAAATGGTGATAAGTGCCCGGGGAGCTTATAAGTTAGAATAAGGATAATAAGCAGCACAAGGGATGGTGCTTTGATGATTTGTATAGGGTGGTTAAGGAAGATTGCTTAGGAAGGTTGGTGATGTGGCCTTTTCCCATTTTTATGTTAAAGTATAATTTCCCTGCACTAAACTCTACTGTTTTTAGGACAGGGTTCTGTGAGCCTTGACAAACTCATGTAAGCTGTATAACCAGCCCAAGCAAAAGACAGCTCCGTCCCCTCAGCACATGTCCCTGTTCCCCTTGGTTCTCAAGCCCCTCCACCCCACTTCTGGCACTGATCTGTTCTCTGTCCTTTCAGCTGATAGTTCTGCCTCATCTAGAATGTTACATAAATAAAATTATGCTGTATGTAACTTGAATCTGGTTTTTCTTAGCTGAAGGGAAAGGTAAATTGTGATGATTCATCCTTGTTGTATGTATTCATAGTTTGTTGTTTTTTACTGAGAAATATTTCACTGTACTATTACACCATAGTCATCCATTCTCAGGCTGAGGAACTTGATATATCTCCTAATTTAGGGCAGTTGTATATAAACTTCACACACAGATGTTTGTGTTCAGGCAAGTTTTCACTGCACTTGGATAAACAGGCTAAGGGACTTTTGCGCAAAGACCTGAAAGAAATATGAAAACAAGCCATGAAGATAGTTGGGATATTTCTGCATATGTACCATATTGCTATTTAGCAAATGAATAGGTTTTACTGCAAAATGGTTCTGTTTGAGTCATTTGCCACTTATTTTGGGGAAAGTAGAGTAGGAAAGCAACACCATTCATTCATTATTGATCCATTCAACAAACATTTTTTAAAAAGAAAAAGGAAAGCCACCAGTTCACAATTTATGGCCAAAAGGAAGCCTGAGACCCTTGGATCTACACCAAAGGCTAATTTTAGTTAGTTATCTGACATAATTTCCTTTCTGGGTTTCCTGAAAGTTTGGGTAAGGGAATAGTTAGTGAGTTTTGAGTTATCATCTTTGACTAGGACAGTGGGGCCTTAGGCATTTTTGAGAGTTTTTACTTCATTAGGGGTGCCAGGGACCCTTGCTGACGCCCCTGAGAACTGGCATTCATCTAACCGCGAGGCTGTCTGCATGAGAGGGCAAGGAGGTCTCCGGAAGGGCACACTGGGATGAGGGCTCTCCCCGGCTAAAGGCCCAGTGGGCGATATCACACTCTGCTTGGATTCAGATTATTTGTAGGAAACAGAACTAACAGAAAATAACCTGTGAACTTTCTTGTTGCAGGTGATGCAACTGTGAAAAAGAAACCCACCCCCAAGACATCTCCGAAGGCAGGTAATCAGTCAGAGCCTCTCCTGGGGACACGGATGTCATGGCCAAGGCGTTTCCTTTGCCCTGCAGACTGTCCGCCTGCCTATGATTAGGAGACCCTCCCCACTTCCAGCTCTGTGTGGGTCAGGCCAAATCTGGTCCTCGAGCAGGTGTCTCACCCTTGTCCTCTCCTGTGTCCTCTGCCCGACCTTTGTGTACAGCACCCCACAGTCCTGGCAGTTTTCCCTTTCTAGAAATTCCACACACCCCTCCTCTGTCCCTCATTCTGCTGCTTGTGTAAATGACCCATTTGTGCTGCTTTTGTCCCCTGCTGTGTATGTCCTCATTCCATGGAGCCCTTGTCTGTTTTCCATGAAAAGACATTTGAAAGTGTAAACTATACCGAACCCATCAACCAGGGTGGCCCAGAGACTGGAAGGCAAGGCCCTGCTAGGTTAGTGAATGAGGTAGAATGCAAATCCAAATAACTGGGGTGAGACACCAATTCCAGCACAACCAATAAATGGAGAATTATGCCCTGTAAAGTACATAGGTCATTTCTGAGGGGACCTGAGTAAAAAGATGACAAGCCTAGCAGGTCCAAGGGTCAGATCTTTCAGGCAATGGCAGCACTCTTAGTCTTACCCTGGAGGTTCTGGAAGGCAAGAGGACACCTGGGCCCCTCTTCTGCACTCACTTGCCCCCATCCTCTCCCAGCGATGCCCCCTCAGATCACCCAGTTCCCTGAGGACCAGAAGGTGCGGGCGGGAGAACCTGTGGAGCTGCTTGGGAAAGTGACCGGCACCCAGCCCATCACCTGCACCTGGATGAAGTTCCGAAAGCAGGTCAGTCATGGGGGTGGGAGGGCTCGAGGAAAACCCCCAGCCCACAGGCCCAAAGGAGTGACAATTGCTGCTGTGATAGGGACAGCATCACTCTTCATCAAGTTAGAAATGGAGAGACCCCACCTGCCAAGCCTGAGTTCATACCAACTTTCTTCCAGCCCACTAATAAGCCATGCAGTGCAGTTTATATCATATTCTGTGTAGAGATCACCTCACGGTGATCTCTACATAGAATCCTATTCAGGCTCAGGAAAATTGAACAAAGACCTCAGGTGACCTCCCAGACACCATGAGCTTTCCGAGACTCTGCCAACCCACTGACTACTAGCTGTGATAACAACTCAAACTTACCACATGCTGAAGGGATCAAAGCTGATTTGCGTGTGTGGATAAATAAATTTTATGTTAAGTAGAATTTAGGCTGACTGGCCCAGAAATCTAGCTACCATTTATCGTAATGGTTCTTATGAATAAGTGTTTGAATTGCAAAACAACCAGCTTTTGGAGGAAACCTGAGGGTCCTGACCATCCCACCAGTCTCCTGTTGGTGGTGTGTGCCCATATGCGTGATCAGCAGGGACCCTGGAATGACAGGGTGACCCTGGATCAGGAGCCCTTCCTGGGATGTTGATCTCTGAGCCCTCTGTCACTTTGGTTTCATGCCATTCAGATTGCCCCAGCTCAGGAGTGAGCTGACACCAGGGAAGAAAGTAGATGGAGAAGAGAAGGTGGCTTTGAGCATCCCTCAGCACATTTGCCCTGTGCTACTGCCTGACCTCAGATGGGACTTTAGGCTTTCTCAGAGACATCCAGCCAAGCCCTGCCCATCCCTCGGAATGTCTATAATGGTGGACATGCTCTATGTCTGTGCTGAACATTAGGGTGGCCACTAGCCTGGGCAGCCACTGAGCACATGAAAGGGGGCTGGAGCCCGAACCTAAATTTTTAATTTAATTGATTAAAAGTTTACAGCAGTTTTGTTGAGATATAATTCATATACTATAAAATTAACACACACACATCCTTCCCTTTCAGGCAATACTGGAAATTGAACCCAGGGCCTTGTGCATGCTAGGCAGGGGCTGTATCACTGAACTACATTCACGATCAAAAATGACCCTTTTAAAATGTACAGTTCAAGCCTGGTGTGATGGCACATACCTGTAAGCCCAGCACTTGGAAGGCTGAGGCAGGAGGAGGCCCATGATTTCGAGGCCAACCTGAACTGCATAGTGAGACCTTGTCTCAAAAAAGATAAAAAAATAAATAAAATGACATGTACAACTCAGTAGTTTTAGTAAAGTCACAGTGTGGTGCAAACATCATCATCTGATTCCTTGCCCAGAAAGAAACCCCAAGTCCCTTAGTAGCATACCCTTCTGCTTCCAGCTTCTGACCTTTGCCTGCTCAGGACATTTCACACCACTAGAATCATATATCATCTTTTGCGTCTGGAGTTCTGGAGTTTTTTGAGAGGGCACTAGCCCAACCCCAGTACTGGGGATTGAATGGAGAGAGTGCTGACTTATGTTCCCAACCCCTTTTATTTTCTATTTTGAGATAGAGCCTCACTAAATTGCTCAAGCTGAGCAATTTCCAATCCTCCTGCCTCAGCCTCCCAAGTAGCTAGGATTACAGGTACATGTCACCTCACCTTGCTAGATATTTTATTGTTTGTTTTTTGTTGTTTTGATTTTGGGTTTTTGAGACAGGGTCTCACTTTGTAGTGTAGGCTGATCCTGAACCTCCTGTATAGCCTAAGCTGGGCTCCAACTTGCAATCCCATGTCAGCCTCCCAAGTATCTGTAATTTTAAGTGCATGCTGGACTTTTTTGTTTTTATTTAGTATGATACTGGCTGATCTGTGTTGTAGTATGAATCAGTGCTCCGTTCCCTTTCGTAAATGCCTAATCCTCCCTTGTCTAGATGTAGCACATTTTATCAGTCGATGAACATTTTACTTTCCACTTAATTAAAATGTAAGGAGCCACACTGGCCCATGGTCACTGCACTGGACAGCATACACAGGAGTAGCGCCCACTACAGGTGAGCTTCACGAATGATTTGGCCCAGATGCCATCTCCTATGGTCCATCCCAGAGCAGGGGCAGTGAGTGCTGAACTAGACCACCCAGCCCACCCTGCTCAGCCCACCCCGGCTCTGGATGCCCTGAGCCCTGGCAGCTTGTCCAGCTGCATCCCTGGAGTTGGGAGAAGGGAAGAGCCTATTCCTCCCTGGCCGTCTTCAGTGCCCGCCCTGCCTCTGCCCACAGATCCAGGACAGCGAGCACATCAAGGTAGAGAACAGCGAGGGCAGCAGCAAGCTCACCATCCTGGCCGCGCGCCAGGAGCACTGCGGCTGCTACACGCTGCTGGTGGAGAACAAGCTGGGCAGCAGGCAGGCCCAGGTCAACCTCACGGTCGTGGGTGAGTCCGGGCACCGCTGGTGTGGAGGTCAGAGGTCGGGGGCGGGAGGGCAGTGAGAGCCTGGCAGGATGCGGGACCTCATCACCTCAGCCCCTTTCTCCCTACCTGTACCCCGTTTGTCCCAACCCTGCTCTCTGACTCTCACACTAGTCCTGTCCTTCAAGCTGCTGGAGAACTCCAGACGCCGGCCCGTTCCCAACCCTCATCCTGTCAGCGCTTTCCTGGCTTCTCTGCTTTTCTGGTTATCGGAACCTGTGGCCCTTCTACCTCAGCCTCTCCTGGCACCTTCAGTCCTCCTGACACCTTCATGTCACTACCACCCAATCCCCTCGCCAACCTTCACCAAACTCACTGCCACCTCTGACTTCGCTGTTCCTTCCCTGATTTAGGGGCACTGCGGAGAGATTACATTCACCTCCTAATGCAAAACTAACTTTTCTGACCTCCAGGCTCAGCTGAGCGATCAGTGCTGCCCAGAAGTTCTTATGCTTGTCTCTGATCAGTGATGTCCCTGCCAGCCTTGACCTCTAGTTCCTCGGAGAACAGGGCACTAGGCTTGGATTTGCTCGGTGTCACGGCCCCATGGCCCAGGTGTCGGCTCCCATCCCATCATTGCTCCCACCTGGGCTCGGTGGCCTGCCTGCTACTGACCTACCTGAGGCTGCTCCTTTCTCCTGTGTGCTGGGCTCCACCATCCCCGATGTTCTCTTACCTTCAAACTGTCCTCTGCTGGCTCCTCACAGAAGCCCCACAACACTGCCATCTTAGTGAAGGCCCGGCATGGTAACCCCTGCGATCCTCGTCCCGGCCCTGCTGTGAGGTGTGTCTGCTGTCGCACACGTGCGCTGTCTCTCCCCGCCCGCACTGGAGCACGTCCTCTGGCAGGAGCACTCTGCTCCAGCTCTGCTTCCCCGTGCTACTCCTCAAGGTGTTGCTGCACCTCGCCCGCAGAGCCCATGAGTCTGCAGCACTGCTCTGGAGCTCACCGTGTCCCCCTCACCCTAACTCCACTCCCTTTTCCTATCTACAGCGTCCCAGGAGTGACTTAACAGCCAGCTCCGAAAGGACTCTGAAATTCTGTCTGTCCTGTCCTTCTAACCACTCTTCTCATGCCCTGGTCAGCTCTCTCCCGAACATCAGTCACGCTCAGCTTCCTCCACCGGTCGGGATTTCCGGTGTGGCAGGAGCTCAGACAGCAGAGGGACAAAGGAAGGCGCCAACAGGTGGAGAGTGGGCTGTGTCTTGTACCTGTGCGGGCCTTGTGCACGGAGCACCTGAGAGCCTTTGACCTGGTGTGCACTGACACACTTGTGAGACCTAAGCAGGTTTTCCCTTTGCTCTTGGCTTTCTATGGGATCTTTTTTGGGAAACTAAAAGAAGGGTGCGCCCCCGCTTCCCACCAGACTCCCAGCTGGTCTTGGGGAGCAGAGGTGGCCTGGACCTTTCCACTGGGCGCCCCCATGCAGTGCACAAAACCTGCAGCTGTGTGGTGATCCTGATGTTGCCTCCCTGCACCCGAGGTTTTCCCGTGCATGCTCCTGAGGGACACACAGGTAGGCACGCAGAACAAGAGGATCTGACAGAACCAGACCTGGCTACACAGTTGGGACTCTTTCCCTAGAATCTTCCCCTAGCATAGGTTCCTCGGCATGAGGTTAGAGGGTGAAGAGGTGACTCTGGTGGCTTCTTGTGTCTGTGTCATTCCGTGATCGCCTGAGTCTGATCCCAGCTCTCCTCCTCCATCCTCACCTCATCCCTCACTCAGGACTAGGATGGACAGGACTAGGGCTCCAGCCTTACAGTGGGGAAACTGAAGCTGAAGAAAAGCAAAGGAACAGTGAATGCATCAAGGGCCCTGCGGGGAGTTAGCTGTCAAACAGCTCGTGTCCAGATGCCACTCATGGGGATGTGGATGGGTGCAGAATGTCCCCAAAAGGCAAAGATACCACTGGCTGGAAACTTCATCTTGAGGGTAACATGCAGGCCTTTTGGGGAACTGTCTCAAGCAGGGAGTTGTTGACATCAGTTTCCCCATTGCTTTCTCACACTGAGCCTTGGGAAGCTCTGCGGCATCTCCCTTAGCATCCGCCTTAGGCGGATGGAGAACACGGTGTCCTCCTCCACCAGGGACCTTCTCTGTGTCTTTGTGACTCCAGGCGCTTATTTCCATAATTTCCCTCAAGGAGTCAGGCGCCTAGAGGGACTGGTGCTAGCGATCCAGCTTGCTGTGTGCTTGGCCCATACTGAAAGCATTGTTTGGCCGTGCACCCCATCCCGTCAGCAGGCATCAGTCTCCACTTTCCCTTGGTGTTCTCTCTCTTCTACCCCTGCTCGGGTAATGTTGCGCTCAGCGATTTTGCACTACTTTTCTGGAATCAGTACCTCCTGCCCCTACCCTGGCCACCCCTAGACAGTGCCACACATTCCCCACCCCCTCCCCACAGCACGGGCTGCAGTTCTGGCCTTTTATGGTTGAGTTTCTTATTCCACGGCCAGTGCTGACAGGGCCATTGGCGTGGCTGCCCGCCAGCTGGCAGGAGCAGCATGTTAAATGCCGTCCTGGGAGGGGAATGGAATGGAGAGCTGGGCTTTCTGTCTGCCTCCCCCTCTCAGAGCTAAGAATAGAATTGCTCAATAAAATGAGGACTCACATTGATGGGCGCAGCAAAGTCGTATTCATTCAGAGTCCATGAACTTAGGGTTAGTCCAAAGTAAACCCCGGCTAAGCTGATTTACCTGCGTGTCTCCAGGGACATCTGTGTATTATCTGATCAGGGTTCACTAAGTAGATGTACTACGTACATGAGATAAAACAGGAATTGTTCAGCCTACTCCAAGTTTTCAAGTGCTTTAGAAGTATCCATTTACAGACCAACTAAATAAGGCCACTTTGTGCAACTTCTGCTTGTTGGTAGTAAACTTCTCTCGTGGCATGTTCTTAGAAGAACTACTCTCTTTTCAGATAATCTGTGATTCCTATTTTTAAAATGATGACAAAAACTAGCCTTTCCTTCAGTTAGTTTAAATGAGTGTGCTGAGCTATTTCAGAGGCTTATTATTATTAGGCTGTAACAAGCAGCACAGGAATTTTCAGTGCTTAGTGTCTTCCTACGCCTGCTCCCTGTCTGCCTGCTTGGGGAGGAGGGAGCCAGCAGCAGATCCAATGGATTCTTTAATGCCACTCGCCAAGCAGGAGAAAAACAGGTCTCTGCATAGCTTTAAAGAAGAAAAACAGAGAGAACTCCATATACCCAGTAATCCTCAAGGACAATCCGAGATTGGAACTTGCATGATTTGGAAGAGCAGATTTCCCTTCCTAATGCTTGGCTCGGCTTAAGCAAGATGTTTTCTTGATCTCCTTTCTGCCTGATGGCTACAAAGCACGAAGCCCTGGGGCCTGGCTCTGCAGACTTTGTGGAATCTCCCTTGGGCTCTGCCACGGACTAGCTGGGTTTTCTTGGTGAGCAAAGTGCTTTAGCCTCTGTGGGCCCCATTCTGAGGACACAGAAGATCCAGGTAGTCACCATCAGGGAGCCTGCCAGCAGCCTCTGAGTTCAGCAGGGACATCCAGGTGGGGCTAGGCAGAGCTGCACATCAGTTTCCATCACGCATGTGCAAAGAGGGCAAGGGCGCTGCCGTAGTGGGAAGCCTCGTGAACAAGATCATCCATTTTCCCAGGAATAAGAACATTGGCTGAGCACAAAATCCTGGAGGTTGTGTCATGTGGGATCTTTCTCTTAGAGGGGTTCTCATTCTGCCAGTGAGGTCTCCAGAGACCCCTGGGAGAATTCTGAGGAAGTGGAGGGCTCTGCCCCAACACAGAGCCTTTGCCCAGCACTGCCAGGATGTCCCTTCTGCACAGAGTGCACTGACTTATCTTGGAGGCTCATGGGAGTCCCTGGTCTGTCCCAGTGACCCTCAGCCCTGGCCAGCCCCGCTCTGTGTGACTTTGTAGGTTAAGGGAACAGAAAGCATCAGGTCTCGTCCACGCTGTAAGGACTGGTAGGGGAGGAAGGGGCTTCCAGTCTCCCAGACTTCAGGCTTAGGTCTTTTTAGAATTCCTCCACTGGAAACCAAATTCCCTGACGGTGATAACATTCCATTTGGAATTAAAGCCCTCTCCCCACATTTCCCTTTTTTGTTGTTGTTGTGCTACAGGGTGAACTATGTCATATGCAAGTTAGTGACACCTGTAACAGGGCAGGTACAAATGGTATCTCTGTAAAACTCATTTTTCCAAGTTGTCTTTTTAACCAAGGCAGAGAAGAGAAAATTAGCCAAATGGCAGCCTCTGTGACCCCAACTATGTCCAATACATATCTTGCAGGAGGTTTTTGGGATCTAGGGAGCAGTAAGTGTCTCTATCTCTGTACGTATTTTTACTTCCTTAGCTGGTCTGGAGAGGATTTGAACCATTTGCCTCTAAGAGAGTTTAGAGCAATAAACATCTTAGCCAACACCAGAAATGTCTCTAAAAAGACTAATGTATCTTTCAGGACCATTTTTCTAAGGGAACACATTAAACAACCAGTGAAAGTGGTTTCATCACAGGAGGACTCCAGCATGACTGCAGTACTGGAAATGGCTCTGACATGGTCCCAAAATCATCCTCAGGGCAGACCCAGGCTTGGGCTGTGGGACAGGTGGATTCTGGGTGTGCATTCTGAGCTGGAGTGTAGAAGAAGCAGGGCTGGGGTGGGGGTGAAAATGTATGTGTACTGAACGTGAACTGGTACAGGCAGAGCCTTATGTGTATGCACACATGCACACAGACGCATGCGCAGATTTTCCTTCCTTCCGCAGGATGCAGGGTAATTTACAGGAATCCCCTTTGAGCTTCCTGCTTAGCTGGAACTTTGCTTGCTTGCTTAATACTTGCAAAAACAGAGTTTGGTACATATTAGCACCATTTTCCAAATACGAAAAACAAAAGAACAAACTGGTCTCAAATCCACTGGAGTTAACACATTTATAAATCTACATAGCATGATTTTAATTGAAAGTCTGCAAGGCTCCATGAACTCAAACTGTGTTGTGGGTGATGAAGGTTGACCATAGCTATTTGTAACTAGCTGTAGAAACTAATTCTGAAAAAATAGGAGTTTTGTTCATATAAGTAACTCACAAAACCCAGCAAACTCAAGAGCCTCATTAAAGTGGTGACTCCCATGGTTAGATCTGAAGTCAGCAGCACGCTGGTTCTGAGCCCAGGCCATCTGCATGGGGAGGAAGCCAGCCCAAAGGGTGACTTTTCATTCCTGTGCTTGGCTCATTTTCTGTCCCTTAGTCAAGGGGGGTTATGACTTCCTATTGTGGTTTACTTTTGAAATTCCACTGTATACAGCCCAATGAGGATGAAAGAGGTAGGCCAGGGGTTGAGGGTATAGCTCAGTCCCCAGCACCAAGAATCAAAACAACAAATGGGAGGGTAGGAGTAAATGTTTGTGTACTATAAAGTTAGAAATAAACTCCTAAAATAACTGTGACAGTAATGATAGTCAAGTCGGGCACTTTCTGAAAGCTTTTCATCACAACCTTGTGACCTAAGTGCTATTGTTATCTTATCTACATTGCCCAAGCAAGGAAACTGAGGCAAAAAGCAGTTAACAGCCACGGAGTGGGGGCAGATCTGTGTATCTGCCTTCAGAGCTCAACAGCTGTGCTCTCCTGCCCCTTGATAGGGCAGGCATTTCCCAATTTCCACATACCCTGGTTGTGTCACAGGTCACTGGAGCCGTGGGCCTCAAGGACACACACACACTCTCAAACCTCTCTCTCAAAACATATTTTTCATGGGAAATAGTTCATGCCTCCTGAGCAGCCTCCTAAATCTGTTTACTCTGAAAAATATGTTTATGAGTTGGGCAAAGTACAGGAAATCATGACTTGTGAACTGGAAAACTAGCCAAAGAAAGTCTCTCTTGAGCAAGTAGGTACATGTGGGACTTTCTGTACTGCTGGGTTTGTGCGAGCAACACCTATAATGTGTGGATGAGGGATGACAGCCAGGAATAGGCACCTTCACTTGGATTCATGAGGTAGATTAGCCCCACCACAGGGTTAATCCAAGAGCATTCTTGGGCTGGGATGTAGCTCTGTAGCAGAGCACTACAGTTCAGGGAGTTTGAGTGATGTTGTGTTTCTCCATCCCCAGACAAGCCAGACCCCCCAGCTGGCACGCCTTGTGCCTCTGATATCCGGAGCTCCTCCCTGACCCTGTCCTGGTATGGCTCTTCCTACGATGGAGGCAGTGCCGTACAGTCCTACAGCGTTGAAATCTGGGATTCAGTGGACAAGATGTGGAAGGAATTAGCCACATGCCGCAGCACCTCTTTTAACGTCCAGGACCTGCTGCCTGACCGAGAGTATAAATTTCGTGTACGTGCGATCAATGTGTATGGAACAAGCGAGCCAAGCCAGGAGTCTGAGCTCACCACGGTGGGAGAGAAACCCGAGGGTAAGCTTCCCCCACATTTCCACCAGTGTGAGATGCATGTGCCTGGACAGGCTTGTGTGTGTAGAGACCACAGTGAGAAGGTGGCAGCAGAACTGGCAAGGCATCTGCTGTGACTGGCAGGGCCTTTTGACAGTCTTGATTTCTAAGGTTCTGATGCTGATTTGTACTTTTTAAAAAATGCACAAGACTATTCAAAGAACATGGAACCAGTGGGCTAAAGGTGCAATTTGCTGGCAGAACTCTTTCCTCACATGCATGAGGCCCTGAATGCCACCCCCAGCAGCACAAAACAAATTCAAACAATTGTACCAGCAATTCTGGTGCACCACCACCAGGGGGTGATGATGTGTTAATCAAGAGAACGGTTCCAGCGGGGAGGAGCTTAGGCAGATGTTAGGTTCCTACTTACTCCTCACCTCATCCTTCTCTTGCACTCACATTTGAGTGTCTGCATAGGACTTGGAATACAGAGAAAAAGACAAGGATCTTAAAGTGGGAGGCAGACATGCATACACTGTAATGAGATGGGGTACCTTTTACTATACTGACACAAAGAGAAAGCATATGGCAGAAGTTTGCCACGGAGAATGGGAAACTTCCAAGTGGGGGTGACATATAAGCAATGTCTTAGGAAGGGGAGAGAAGGAAAGGCATTTCCTGTAGAAAACATCAGCATGAGCAAGGGCAGGAAGTGATGGCAAGGGGTGACACTTGGAAAAATATGTGTAGCCTGGGCATTTGTTACATGAGACAGAACAGGAGGAAGTAAGAAGAAACAGGCAGTTTAGGTAAAATTATGAAGCTCACTAATGACTTTTCAGGCAGGGGATTGAGAAGAGTAGATCTGTGTTTTAGAAAGGGTACTACTCAAAGCTGGGCTGCGGATAGCAGCCCTGGTGTCCTGGGAGCTTTGTAGACTCTCAGCCCCAGGCCTTCAGAATCTTCCCTTGACATGATCTGCCGCTGAGCTGATTCATACCCCATGAAGGCCTGAGAAGCTCTGGAGTGGAGGATGGGACAGAGAGCTGAGATAGGAGTCAGCCAAGCACCAGATGAGCCTCTGTGTCCAAGAGAGGAATGAGAAGGGCATGAACTAAATCCCCAGGGTGTAGTATGGACCATTCCTGATGACTTTTAGAGTAGAGAGTTGACCAAAAAAATTGGAAGAGTAAGATAACTCCCAGTCACTGGTTGGGAAACTAAACACAAATTCAACAACCAGTTAGAGGGTTTTGGTTTTCTGTTTGCTTTGGTTTTGTTTCTGAGTTGCTGAAAATTGAACCCAAGGCCTTTGTATTGAGCTACATCCCCGACCCTTCCTATGTTTTACTATGAGTCAGGGTGTCACTAAGTCACTAAGTTGCCCAGGCTGGGCTCAAACTTGGCAATTCTCCTGTCTCAGCCTCCCAGAGTGCTGAGATTACCTGCATGTACCACAGTATCCAGCTCAGGTAGAGGTTTATTAAGAGTCATGAGTAGTAATTGCTACATGCTAACAGTATGACACTCACTTTACACACATCATTTCATTTAGTTGTAATAACCCAGTGAGGTAGAGACTATTATTATCCCTATTTTACAGGTGGGGAAGTGAGGCTTAGAGGGGTGCTCCTACTTGTCTGGGGTCACAGAGTGTGTGTATAGTGAGTAGAAGTGTGACTCGGAGCAGTCTGACATGAAACTTGTGCTCCTCTGGTCAGACTGAGGGAAGAGTCAGCGGCTGCTCCTGGTTCCTGGATTAAGGGACTGGAAGGTTACATTAATAGGGAATCTGGGAGGAGACTGGGCTCTGGCTTCAGAACAGTTGAGTTGAGGTGGCTGAGGGACTTTCAAGGGGAAATATCTTCAGACTGTGGAGTCCAGAATTCAGGAAGAAAGTTAGTGCTACAGAGGAAAGTGAGCTAGTGCTGCAAACTTAGAAGTCTTCACCGATTGATAGTGGAAGCCATGAGTATCCATGAGGTCACCCCAAAGGGAGTACAGAAAGGCAACATCAGCGCCATCATATAAGAGCCCATGGGACCAAAAGAAAGGGCCCCTGGAGCCTGGAGACCCCTGTAGAAATGGGAGGGAGCGAGAGGCAGAGAGGGCCTGGTGAACTGCAGCAAGGGCTGGAGACAAGCGAGGTGAGGACTAAGAGGGCTCTTTGGATTTAGCCCTGTGGTTGGCAATAATCTTTGAGATCAAAGTCCATAGAGTTTCCACGGGGTGGGAACATGGTTGCCTTGGTTAAGTAATAAATAACAAAAGAGGGCCAGGAATGCGGAGTATTATCACAAGGAGTTTCATGTAGGGAACAGGAAGAAGATGCTAAGAATTGAAGGTAGAGGAAGGATTGGGGACCAGAAGAAGGTGGAGGAACACCAGGACCACAGCTCTTAGAGAGAGGCAGGGTGACTGCAGAAGACTAAGGGTATCGGAGAGATGGGAGTGAGCCAGCCTGGAAAGACCATGCAACTAGAAGCATCAGGAGTGCAGAGCTTCCTTCCAACTCAGTAACCCTCTGGAGATTTAAAAATTAGGTCTAAAACAGTTATCAAGAACTTTAACTTTTTTTGAGGCACTAGGGGTAGAACCTAGGGCCTCACATATGCTAGACAAGTGCTCTATCATAGAGCCATACCCCGGCTAAAACTTGACTTGCAAATGTCTGGTAAGAAACTAAGTAGCAACCAGCTTCCACTCCCGCTCTATAATTCCGGCCGTATAATTCCCGCCCTACACCACATTTTCTACAGTGGGCAGAGTCGGGCACCAAGTTCCAGTCCTAATGTTTTGGGACATTACTTGGGAAAGTGGCAGGAGAGGAGGAGGCTGCAGTGAGAAACCTTCATGGGCTGGAAAAACATCATCTAGGTCCCCGCTATGGTGGAAACCAGAAATCCTTGACCAGCCAGGCCCAGAATCCCTGACCAACACAGGCGGCAGGAGTGGAGCCCACAGCAGCTGCAAGGTGGGCTCCCAGGAGACCCAAACAGCAGCTTCTGAACTGTGGGGAGAGCCATAGGGCCAGGAGTGGAGTGCACGGTGGGCAGGTGGCGTTACCCTGAACTCCACCCAGGGCAGCCCTCAGAGTCCACCCCTCTGCCCTCCCACTGGGAGCAGACACTGGGAAATGTTGAAATCTCCCAAAATCCGGGAGAGAGGAGGGGTCCGGGCCACCCAGGGCTTCGAGACAGGAAGCTGCTCCCATCCCCAGGCCCAGCTGGATCAGGCCAGGCAGGAGGAGGAGGGGAGAATAGTTGGCAGGGAGGCCTGAGAGTGGGGGAGGGGTGCCCTGTGCTGCTCAGATGTTTGTAACAACTGGGGAGCCATCACTCTTCTTAAAAGGGAAATGGCTCTCAAAGAAGCAAGCGTGTGCGCACGCGTGGGGGGGGGTTGGCAGGCAGACAGGTGAGACTGAGTAGCAGGTCACGGAAGGTCACTTCTGTGGAGCAGTGGTCTGGGGATCATAGCAAAAGCAGTGCTGATGGATCCACCAAGCCCAGCTAATGTCTCTGACTTTCGGCTCAGCGGTCACCCCTCCTGAATTCCAGGCGCTGCCTGGTGCCCAGGGACACAGTGGAGGACAGAGTGGGCCCCATCTGGTCCTGGTGGCTTCCCCCTGCCAGGGCCACCCTGTGATCAAGACCCCTAACCTCACAGCTCCCTGCCTAGTCTTCCACGTCACCAGAGCCTCCACTTTGACCCACTCTCTGCCATCCCAGCCTGACCTTGAACTCCACACCTATCTGATCTGGCTCTGACTCTTCAATCCATAGCCTTTGCTCCTGACCCTGATTTGTCCTAGTCTATTTAGTTGTTCACAGAATAGCTGTGCAGTCGGGGCTCCTTGCGAGTCCCTGGGCAGGGAGAGCTGCGCCCTATCGAGGGCTGCCCTTGCCTGGTGCCCAGAGGCAGTTGTCCAGAGCCAGGATGCCCCCTAGTGCCCACGGAGTGTGCAGCAGTGCTTGGCTGAAGAAAGGCACGGTGCTCTTCCAGGGCACTGACTGGACCTCTGCTGTGCGCAGGTTCGAGCTCTCAGCTGGTTCTCTCCTAACCCACTCCAACACAGCGACACTCGGCTCTGTTTACAGAAATATCTGAGAAACTCTGCAAAATAGCTCTTCCACTTAGCCCTTGGATCTCATAGCTCATTCTAAATAGTTTTGATTTGCCTTTTTTTTAAATGTTTAGCCAAAGTCCTTTCTTCAGCAATTCTAGCTCCTTCCTTTTTGGAAAGATGGGGAGCAAGTGCACATTTTTGTCCTTGCTAAAGCCCTTTATGGTCCACGAGCTTGGCTCACTGCACTGTGTCTCTGCCTACTCTTCTCCTACGTACACACCCCGCCAAGTAGACGGGAAGCAGGACAAGAAGGGAGGTGGGGAGTCAGCAGCCTGGGGCTTGATGCCAGCTCCCCAGAGGAAAGCTTCAGGGAAGAGTGAGCTGAAAAGAGGGCCTTGAGTCTCTAAGGACAGGGGTTTGGATGCAAGAGGGTGCAACGGGCAGGAGGTGAGGACAGGTGTGGTGCAGAAGGCCAGGAGGCCAGCTCTGCGGGCCAACGTCCTCTCCGAGGCTGGCTGGGAAAAGCCGCAGGTACCAGGCCAATGGAAGGACCCTTGTGGCTCATGGCACTCTTCACAAGCACAGTTAAACTGTTCCCTTGGAAGGCAGCGGGCTGAGAGAGCCTGTCTTCCCTGTCTCTTACCCTGCTGCTCAGAACACTCCAGTCCCCTTGCCATAGAAAAATGTGAGAGGGGAACAAGAAAATGAAGGTGCTCAGTAGACCAGAGCCACAGATCAGGACTGTGGGGCCTCCCGGCAGGAAAGACAGACTTTCTCTCAAAGACTTGGGCCAAGGACTGGCATCCACCAGGTGTCTAGTGAATGGTGGCCTTGACCCTCTTGCTTCCCTGAAACCTCTGTTTGAAATATTGTTGAACTAACCTGAACATCTATGGGACCTCTTACTGTTCTTGGAATCCCTCCCGACATGGGGCCCACGGGCCTATGTACTTGCCTCCCCCAGGAAGAGCTCCTCAAGTGGTAACGTTTATGAGTTGATGAGGAGTCTGTACACCTGGCTCTACTCTTGGCCGTTGAACTCACTTGTTCCCTCGTACTGAGGATTGAACTCAGGGCCTTCTCGCTGAGCTCCATCAACTAGCCATTTTGTTTGTTGGTTTGTTTTGTTTTGAGACAGAGTCTTAATTGCCCAAACTGGGCTCAAACTTGCAATCCTCCTGCCTCAGCTTCCTAGGATGCTGTGATTACAGGAATGCACCACCATATCTGGCTTACGACTTCCTTTCAAATGATGTCTGCTTAGACTTCTTTCCCCTCTGGAAAGGCCAGGTCTTTTCCAGTTGTCTTAGCATGGCAGCCCTTCCTTCCCGTAGCTTCCATACTTCACCCAGCTCCACCTCGACCTTCTCAACTGCCAGCACCCAGAGCCCTGGGGATGGATGTCCCACTGTATCAAGACCCGTGGAGCAGTTGTACCTGTTGCCAGTGGCATTGTCCCGGTGGTGGCACTCAGTTGACTGGAGCAGGAGGTTAAGGAATTGCCAGGCCTGTCACCCTCGGGGTAGAACGAATCAGTCTCGCAAACACTCCCAGGCACCTCGCTTGCAGGTCGGCTTTGTCACCGATGAATCGGACAGTGTCACTTAGCTCTGGGCCCTGTGGATCTGGAAAGGCTGACCAGGGAGGCCCGCATCCCTAACATTCCCACCCAGACTGCTGCATTTTTCCATGGCACTTTGCTTTCAGTGTTATTCTTCCCAGTCCTCTCATGTTTAGTTTTTCAAAATTAAACTATGTCAGCAGCATTTTAAGAACTCCAAACAGATCACAGCTTCTCTCGCTCCTGTTTCAGGCTCGTAAACTCTCTCAGACCTCTTGTTCAGCAAGAGGCACTTGCCCTGGATGGCATCATAGTGTTCCCCTCACTGGCTCTTGGGTTACAGCGACCTTGCCTTCCTGCCACAGCTTGCAGGGGGTCCACCGTCCGCGGGCCAGCTGCACCTCCTCCCCGGCCCACTCCCCTCCTTCTCCCTGACCCGCTCCTCCTCTTCCTCCCAAGCCCACTCCTCTTCCTCCTCCTTCTCCTCCTTGACACACTCCTCCTCCTCCTCCTCAGTAGCCCACTCCTCCATCACAGAGCAGCATTGAGGCCGCCAGCAGGCAGCGTCCCGCCGAGTGCTCTGCCCACCCACCCTGGTCCTCACAGGAGGTGCATCCACACAGGCAACTCCCTTCCCAGCCTTGCTCTGTAGGGGCCTCCACAGAGCACACCCTCTCCCCCAGCCTCATACGCATGCTCACAAATTCACACACGTGCACACACACTCACACATTATCCTATACATGCTGTCATTATCCTATACAGTCACACACGGTCCCACATACCCACACACTCACATGCACTCACATGCGTCACACCATTCCACACCCCAGTACATACTCCCGTGCATACGTGCACTCACAGTTACACACTGGCCCCCACACACTCACACATTCATATATCCCTACATGGTCCCCACACACACACACATACACACAGGCAAATGCTCACATTCACACTCCCATGGCATCCCTCACACACACCCTAGACTCACACTGTCCCACGGGTACTCTCACATTCACACACTTGTGCACTGTCCCACGCACTCACACTCTGCCGATTTCTGCAGCACCCTTGCTGTGTCCCCCAGAAATCTCCCTTGTCCATCTGTCAGCCAGAGCACAGTCCAGACTGTGGGCGGGGGCGCGGAGCGCTGTCGAGCTGCAGCTAGAGCTGGACAGGCTCTTCCTCGTACAGATGAGGGCTGGAGGCCGGGAAGGGAAGGCACCCGGCCAAGGTAGGGAAGCTGCAGAAGCCCTGCTGATAGGCAGACACACAGCAAGGCAAAGGAGAGCCAGGCGCTTCCAAGGGGATGCGTCCTGGGGACACTGCCCGCCCCACGTCTGCCCTCCACTCCCAGTGTGTCTTGGGTCCCCGAGTCCTCCTCAGCCTACCTCAGTGGGCACCAGTTGGCCTCTTGGTGTGATGTCACTCATTTGTGTGACTCCTCTCTGCTCCTGTTGCCTTTAAGACATAACCCAAGCGCTGCCCTTTCCAGGAGTAATCACTGGCTCTGTCATCGCCTCTGTGTGCCTCCGTCTGTGCCATGATGAGATGGCTTCACTACATGACACTTCATAACTGATACTTCAAGTGTACAGCATCTGTCTCTGCCTCTCCAGCTAAATTAGAAGCTTCAAGAAGGAAGGAGAAAGCATGCGTAGCATGTATTTTTGGTTGGTTTGCCTGTGTAACTGGCAGTGAGCTTGATACACTGCTGGGATTTTATTTTTAAAAAAGTTCAACAACTGTGGATTTACGTTGGAAGCATTTTAAATCACCGACGATCAGACTAGGGCAAGAAGGGCAGTAACAGTTCTGTGTGTAGCCGGTTAAGTCCAGAGGCAGGGAAGAGATGTGGGGAGGCTGCATCTTGGGCTGCAGGGTTAAGAATGAGGGTCCTGGTAGCGGGGAAGGACTGGCTGGGAAGGGCCGGGACCTGCCAGTCTGCACCGGGCCCTGACCAACCCCAGCAGCTACAGAGCTCTGGGCCGGCCTGGTGCCCATGAAAGCTCCAGCATGCCTTGCTGTCAGCAGGCCTTGAACACTGACCTCTGCATCTTCTCTGCCCCTACCCCTTGTCTCCCCTAGAGCCCAAGGATGAAGTGGAGGTGTCAGATGACGGTGAGTGGTGGCCCTGGTCCTCAGGTCCGGCTCTCAGGGTGAACGGGGCTGAGCAAGGGGGCTGGATGGCTCACACTGACCCTGACATGTGCCCTCAGATGAGAAGGAGCCTGAAGTCGACTATCGGACGGTGACTGTCAACACTGAACAAAAAGTATCTGACTTGTACGACATTGAAGAACGACTGGGATCGTAAGTGGAAGGGAAGCTGCATCTGGGTCCCCAGGGGAGGTCAACGCGGGTTCCACTTCTTCCTGACCTCTGCTGTGCTCGGCCTGCTCTCTGGGCTGCAGTTCCTGCAGTCCTCAGGAGGTGTCATTCACCCTGGGCACTGGGCAGAGAATGGTGCAGTGCGAGGGCCCAGCCGCAGAAAAGCGACCCTCTTCCATGCCTCCTCACCAGCACCAAAACCTGGGTCAGACTGTCTGTCCCTCCCGCTGGGAGTGAAGGGACAGATAGAAGTGGCTGGGAGTGACCAGCACTGCCCTCGTGGCTCTCTCCATGAACTCATGGCTCTCTCCATGAACACCCTTTACTCTGCCTTGTCCCTGGGGAAGGGAGGGGGCCAACGGTCTCAGGTCCCAGTAGGCTGCCCCCCATCTCTCCCTGGAGGAGCACAAGAGAGAGAAAAGGAGTGGGCTCCGCTTTTATTTCGCATGTGGTTCCTGGGAAATGCGGTGATGCAAATCCCTCAGAGGCTCTGGGAAGGGAGTCTGCCCTGTCAGAATGAGTTACAGCCCGGAGAAGCCTTGGGGTCTCCAGTCGTGGGAAGCAAGGTCTTTCCTGGGTTGCCACCAGCAGACCAGTGCTGGGGTGGGGTGGCAGGCAGGGGGCCGTTCAGTCAGTGTTTAGGAAGCGTGGTCTCAGGCTGCCTTCATGGGCGCGTGCAGGGAAGGGAAGAGAAGGCCACCAGCCAGGGTTGTATGGAAACACACTTACTGGTCTAGCGCAGGGGCTGGTAGACCTTTTCCTTAACAGGCCATATAGTTGATATTTTAGGCTTTGTGTCCCATTGTCGCACAAAAGCGACCATGGACAATATGTAAACAAACAGGTGTGGCTGTGTTCCAGGCAGACCTTAACTATAAAAATAGGCAGGTCAGATGTGTCCCTTGGGCCATCGTTTGCCACCCCAGATGTAGTAGAAAGCTTAGCTAATTGTGTTTTTTTTCTCTCCTCCCCCTTTCATGTGCAGTGGGAAATTTGGACAAGTCTTTCGACTTGTAGAAAAGAAAACTGGAAAAATCTGGGCAGGGAAATTCTTCAAGGCATATTCAGCAAAAGAGAAAGAGAACATCCGGGAGGAGATCAGCATCATGAACTGCCTCCACCATCCCAAGCTAGTCCAGTGTGTGGATGCCTTCGAGGAAAAGGCCAACATCGTCATGGTGCTGGAGATGTGAGTGTCACTGTGGGCCTGGGAGTCCCCGCTCATGTTCCTCCCGCTGTCCTCCCCAGCCACCTCTGCCCAAGACGGAAAGTGCTGTAAACGGGATGTGACATGGAGAAGCTGACCAGCCTGTCTGTAGCCCTGTGCTCCTTTCCCTACCTAGAAGATATTGGGGTCCCCTGCACACTCTCCCTCTCATCTCCCATGAAAGGGCCGGAGCTAGCCCTATGCTCCTTGATGTCATGCAAGGCATTCTCACCTAGAACTGCTTAAGGAGGAAGGGAAGGTGCAGCAGCCTCCTAACTTCCCTGCAAGAGAAGGTCCAGCCTGGGGGCTCAGAATCCAGGAGCAGAACCCTTGCTCAGGCCCCTCCACATGTGTCTGCACATGCAGGAACTTGCTATTTCACACTGCACATTGTTCAGCAAACTGCTGTGATAGCCAGGCCTGCGTCCCCCAGCTCCATAGAATCAATGCATGACAGTATATTAAAGTCATCTGCTTTGCATAAGTGGTTAGGCGGTTTCCAGGCTTTTGCTTTTGCAAACAAGTGTTGTTTATACCATCTTACACACATCACTCATGCCTGTGTGTATCTGTAGTTTACATTCCCAGAAGTGAGGGAGTGCTGGGTTAAAGAGTATGCACATTTGCACACTTGAGCATTATTGTAGAGTTGCCTTCAGAATCCTTGTATTGCTCATACTGAACTTTGGGGGTGTCAGGCCTTTGAGAAAGCTCATGGGCATCTGAGCACTCTTCCCCAGGAAAGACGCAGGCTGTTCCCTCTGCTCATTGCAGGAACATTAGGGCGAAGAGTGGTTAAGAGCACAGACGTGAGTCAGATAGACCTTTCTCAAACCTTATCTCTGCCTCTGACTTGGTGTTGACCTTGAGTAAGTTACTCAGCTGTGCCCATCCTTACTTTTATTATCCATAAAAGAGGCTATTAAACCCACCTCCTAGATGCTGCAGGGATTAAGAGAACAATGCTTGAGGACATAGTGCTCTGAAACGGGAGGCTCTTAGTAGTATAGTACATTAACTTTTTCTGTATCCTGGTCTTTTTCTACCTAAAAGTATGCTGTGAGCATTTCAACATCTAACTTAGTGCCATGGAACTAATCCTTTCCAGTATTCAGGAGGCTTGGCCTCAAGTTCTGCTACAATCGAGATGTGATTTTTAATTCCTAAATCCTACCAGCAAAAAAAGGTACTTTTTGAATTCAAGTAATTAATCTTGAGTCTCCTTTTACCTATAAAATTATACAGTTCTGTGAAATCATCCAAGACTCAAAGAAAATCTTCACTTGTATCTTAGGGTCAAATTCAAACTTTCCATCCTTCCCACTTTGAGGAAATATTTAGCCTATGTCTGTGGCCTCATTCTTCCCACCCTCACAGTATCACTGTGGGCTGAAGCTTTGTTCTACAGCAGGTTCTTTCGTCCAGGCCGAGTGGGCGTTGTGAGGACATTTGGAGAAATGTCTTCTCCTCAGAAGCTAAACCTTGAGCAAGTTCGTGAGAGGGGACAGGAGGCAGCTGAGACTGGGTGAGGCCGGGCAGTCGCACCAGTGGGCAGAATACCATACTTAGCTTGGAATCAGGAGTTGGCAAGCTAGATGGAAAAAGCCGGGAGAAATGTAAGAAGGTTTCAGCTGGTCTGGCTTTCATCCCTGTACCCACTCCTCCCCCATGGACAGGAGCAAGTCTTCCACGCACAGATGCCAGAATGTTCCCTGCACTTTGGATACAGAACTTGCTCCGTGATAGGAACTCAACTAGGGGAGAAGGGAGCAGGTTTATACACCATCTGCACGTCCCTTCCAGCCTAACCTTTGTAAGAGTTGGCCTTGGAGAGGGGAAGGTTGACATTCCACAGCACAGTCTGCTATTCTACTTGTCTGATAGAGAAACTGGGATGAAATGAAGGGTGATTCCTGGTGATAGAGGAAAATAGAATGTATATTCAGAGCCCCAGCCTTCCATGCAGCTGCCTCAGAGACGTGAAGAGGAAAAATGGGCATTCCTTCAGCCCTTCCAGCTTCTGAGCTTACAGGACAAGCTCCATCATATAGCAGTGTGGCTCTGAGACAGGGATCTTTCCTGGCTTTTTACCTGGAGCCTGGACTTGTCCTTGTGAAGGTGTCTGGGACATGCCAAGGGGTGATGGGACCCTGGGCACTAAAAAGACCTTGAAGTTTAGGCTAAGGCAGTGGTGGGTGATCTCACCCTTATGCTCCTATTAGCAAAGCTCATCAAAGAACATCTAGCTGGCTACTGTGGCATAACGAGCAGAGGGCCTGGGCGCTGGGTCCCAAGACAGCCTCATTCCTTCTGGCTGCCACCAGTGAGGCCTGACCAAGCTAACTTTGATGGCAGTAGGTATCTATTTACCATTCACCTGCTCACTCTTTATTAAGCACACATTTCCTCAGCCTGTGTTGGCCCATGGCCTAACCCTAGGTCTTTGGGTGGTGGCTTCTGCCTATCAAACCAGAGTCTTGATCACTTTGGAACCTATAGAACCATTAATCCAGCTTATTTTAAGGTGATCCTTCCATCATAGGAGGTGGATCACTGGAACAGTTTTCAAAATACTAAATATATTTGAAGAGCAGTGAACCTATCTGAAGCAATATTGACTAAGCTCCCTCTAGAAATGCCACAGCAAATTATCTCCATAGCTTGGATGTTATCACTCATTTTAGACATTCTGAAGGCACTGAAAATAATGGCTGCTTGCTTTCTTAGAATATTTTAAGTTTAAAAGCAAATGTGTCAGATAGCACCAGATACAAATGAGCCAGGCCTTTTGCAGATAGCCTGACAAACAACTTTGAGACAAAGGTGACTTGATGCAAAGAGTATAGACACAAGTGCTTGGATACCCATGGAGGAAAAAATCATTTCACGTGAAGAAACTGATTTCTCTGAGGATGTGAATTTCCATTGGCTGTGCAGGAGTGGTAGTAGAATAACCCAGTATTTCCTAAATATGTTTGATCATAAGAGTGACATGGGGTACGTCTTAAAAATATGGATCCTCAAATCCCTCCCAAGAATCTCCAAATCAAAATCTCCAGGGGAGAAGCTTAGAAGTCTTTATTATCAATAAGAGCCCCAGGTGATTCCTTAAAGTAAAAACTTTTTTTAAATTGATAATTAACATGCACTTTCTTTATGCTTGGAACCTTTGTAAGCAGTCTGCCTGTTAACTCATTTCTGCCTTCGCTTGCAACTCTCTGAGTTGGTGCTGTTTTTATCTGCAGCTTACAGGTGAAGGAACTGACAATCTACTTTGGAGTTTGTCTTGGAGCCTTAGTGGAGAGCAATAGAAATGGAGGGAGGGTTTAGGACAAGAGGCGCCACCTGCTGGTAGCGCGGGGACCTTCTTCTCAGATTGGTTCTACAGAGTCAGTTTTAGCTCCCCCTCGTGGCCACTGGCACACACTGCCCTTTCCCAGTTTAGCCCTGTACCGCGGCGCGAGGTAGAGGTGGATAGGCTGTGGTGTGCTGCGTCCCATATACATCCCTGTCTGTCTCTCCTACAGGGTCCAGTGACAAGATCCACTTAGCCCACCAGGATGTCAGACAATAATTAACATGTTCTTGGCACTGGCTATGTACCAAGCACGATACTTTACACAGGATCCTATATTCCTAGTAACTCCATGAAGTAGGGAGAGAAGGCAATGGCAACTAGGGCTCAGAAAGGTTAAATCAAGTTTATAAAAGACAGACAGATCCAAAGTCATCTCCTTCCTGTCTTCATGATGATGCCCCTTGAAGGGAGCAATCCCAGAATGAAGCCCACCCAGGCTTGTTCTGCCCCTGGACCTATAGACCATGAGTGTACTGATATCTGGATGCCATGTAAGTTACCACAGAATGGTTTAAACCCGCAGAGCAGTGATCAAGAAAAGTGAGCTAGAGGGCTGGGACTGGGGACCAGAGAAGACCCAGGCAACTCAGACAGCAGCAGGGCCATGCTTATGGAAACTGAGTGATTTAAACTTGAGTTCCGTATAACTAGAAGACAGCTAGGGTACAAGAATGTCCCCCTATGCATCTGTGGTCACATATGACACCCAGAACTGCCCGTTTTGCTAAGGAGCCCACCTCTGAGACTGCCAGGCCTGTGGGCTTCCCTGACTCCACATGTCACCCTGAGCCCTGCTCCCCACAGGTACAGAGCAGCAGGAAACCCAGGGGCCCTGGCCTCCTTCCACAGTGGAAGCCTGGGTTTAGAAGGCTGCCGATGTGCTGCTCCTTTTGGCCTCCCCCGGCCAGATGCCTGCCAGCCCAGCCCATGATCCTGGGGCTGACCCCAGTGTCCTTCCCCCTCCGCCTGTCCCTGCAGCGTGTCAGGTGGCGAGCTGTTTGAGCGGATCATTGACGAGGACTTCGAGCTGACGGAGCGGGAATGCATCCAGTACATGAGGCAGATCTCGGAGGGGGTGGAGTACATCCACAAGCAGGGCATCGTGCACCTGGACCTCAAGCCTGAGAACATCATGTGTGTCAACAAGACGGGCACCAGAATCAAGCTCATCGACTTCGGTCTGGCCCGGAGGCTGGGTAAGACCCGTCCACCTCTCCTGTCATCAGCGCTGCGGTGGCAGTGGCTGTGTGTGTTTCATACATCATTTATTAGAGGAATCATACAGTACTGGGGTCAAAGTCAGACGCACTGAAGCCTGCTCAGGTTCAGAGGCAACCCCTACAACTTACTACAGTGTGACTGTGAGCCCCAAATTCCTCACCTATAAAAGGGACTAGCAGTAGTGACCACCTCATAGGATCATAGGACCAAGGACTTAGAGCTGGCGGACTCGAAGGACTTCGAAGTGCCAGTGCCACGAGCATAGCAAGCACTATGCAGGCACTCACTTCTTATTTGATGGTGATGATGCCGCCACTGGTGGCAAAGTTCATTTTGGTAACGGTGGCTCCTCATATGGTAGTTTTATGTGCACAGTTTCCAAAGCACTTTCATGTTAAAACAAAAAGTTTAAAAACCTCATTGATTCTCCCTGGGACAGAGGCAGGGCAGACTTTCTGAGCCCGTTTGTTTGCTAGGAGTCAGTGATTTGCCCATCATGCCCACCAGGAGCAGAGGAGGCTCCAGGGCTGGAATAGGGTCCACAGGCCCAGCTCAGGTGCTGCAGTGCCTCTCTGCTGTCTGTGCACTAAGCAGAAGGGGGCGGTGGGGTAGAGGCCAAGCCTCGTCCCCAGCCCAGAAGCTGGCTTCGCCACTCTGCCGCTGCAGCCCTCCGATGCCCCAGTCACTCTCCCTCCCAGCCAGCTTCTCTTTCACAAGGAGCCCTGGGGCCAGCGTGAGCTGGCTTTGATTTCCGATCCTGTGGGGAGCAAGAAGCTGGCCAAGCCAATGCCACCCTGCAGACCTGGTTGAGAACTATGAGGGAGTGAGATGCTGATAGGCCTTGACCTGTGAGGTGATCAGGGTGGTCAGGCCAGTAGCACTTCCGGACCCGGGGCAATGCACCTGCTCTGTTCTCCTGCTCAAGGGACAGGGTGGGCAGTGGCCGGTATATGGGGCCTGCTCTGGATAGTAACCACTAATAATTAAACAAACAGAGACACAGGCTTGGGAAGCCGGCAGCATCGGAACCCAGAGAACACAATGTTCAGGTTCCCTTTGTGGGAGGTGCTGTGGGAACAGCAGTGTTCAGCAAGGACCGGAGAACCAGGAAGTGGGTAGAGTGCAGCAGGAGGGGAGTGGGAGTTGGAGCAGGGCCTCCACACTGGGACAGCTGTAAGTGCTTCGCTGTAGAACATTTACCATGGGCGTTGCAGAGTTCCACCAGGCCAGATGCGGTTCCTGGGCCAAAGGCTTTCTACTTCCGGCTGCTGGTGCCTGCCTTTAGCTCACACTGCCGGGCATCTCTTGTCCTTTATGGTCCCTGCAGCTCCTTCTAGGAGACATGAAGCTGGGAGGTAAATAGAAGCAGTGGAGTGGAGTGGAGGGAAACCTGGCTCAGTAATCAAACTGCCTGGTAAGCCAGGTGGGGAAGTCACTTTACTTCCCTGGGCCTCACCTTTGTCGTTTACAGAGGGCACCATACATGGGCACTATACGTACTTTTCAGTGTTATTGAGCACATTAGATAGGAAAATCCCTGTAAAGCTGGGAGCGGGGCACATAGGATATAGTCACTGTCAGCATCAGTGAAATCAGAGGTTATGAAGCATGAGTCACAACCCCTCCCTTGGGGAACTAAGTCACAGGGGAAACGTCAGTAGGAAGGGCCCACTTGGGCAGGTGCCTTAAGGGCCTGTTTATCCCCTCCCTGACCGCTCAGCACATTTGAGGTGAATACTGGTTGGCTGGTCTCACTGGTGGGTTGACACCATTGTTAATGAGGAGGCCAGGTGTCTGCACCACTGTCCACGGAGAGAGCACCCGCAGGCTGGACCCCTGTCTGTGTCCCTTTGGGTATGGAGCCCATCATACAGACATGAAGCAGGCGCTTACCCTGAGCTGGCCCCCTGGCATGCTGTTGACGGACCCTTGTCCATCCTGGTTACAGAGAATGCGGGGTCTCTGAAGGTCCTCTTTGGCACCCCAGAGTTTGTGGCTCCTGAAGTGATCAACTATGAACCTATCGGCTACGCCACGGACATGTGGAGCATCGGGGTCATCTGCTATATCCTGTGAGTCCTTGGCATTCAGGGAGGGGACAAAGAATCCCACAGCAGGATCCCAGGCTGCCATGATGTTGTGAAGGAGGGGCCGGGGAAGTCATGATGGGGAGCCCAACCTAAAGAAGAAGGGGTGACAGCTGCCATCCCTGTCCCTGCCAGCCCATCTGCCCCTGGGTTCCCAGTGGTCAGTGGTCTGCACCGCCTCCTGTAGCAACACGGAGTAGCACACCGCCGGGCCCTCCGTCCCCAGGGCTCACAGCCTGGGGCCTGTGCTCAGGAAGGGAAATGTAGCTGGCAGCCTCACTGTCAGCAGGTCCAGAAAGAGGAGGGAGGGAGCCAGGCGCACGTCTCTGGGAGTCTGTATTATGCTCTGAGGACAGCACCCTATCCCCAGCCAGGCACATGGGGTGGGGATCCCCCCTCTAGCCTCATCTCTGACTCCATTGTGTGTGCTGATTAATGGGCAGTTTTGAGGACAGGGCCTTCAGTGGGGCCAGCAGACAACAGAAAGCAATGCAATATTTAGAACTGGAAAATCAGGTGGCAGTAGGAAGCCACTGAAGTGAACACTGATAGAGAAAAGGAGGAGAAGCCACAAGCCTTAACATCCACCCATCACTAGGCACAGGTGCAGATTTGGGCTGAGGTCGGAACCTGAGATCCTCTCCTCCCAAGAGGTCCCAGGTTGCCCGAGCACTGCTCCAGGGACCCTGAGCCTTCACTGATGGAGCCCTGAAGCCTCAGGATGCAGGCAGCTGTTAGGCCCAGAAGCAGTCCCTGAACTTGGGGCAATACAGTTATGGGCTGGTCTCCCCAAAGATGCAGATATTAGCATCTGTTTAAAAATACTTTTATCAGGGGCTGGGGATTTAGCTCAGCGGCAAAAGCGCCTGCTTGGCAAGCACAAGGTCATGAGTTCCGTTCCCGGTACCGGAGAAAAACCAAAAAAAAAAAAAAAAACTTTTATCATCAAGACCAAAAGAAAAGTAAATGTTTCCATAGAAGATATGAGGAGGGCCTCACAGAATAGTTTCATAGGCCCCTGGGATCTTTAGCCCCAGGGTAGCAAAAGGCTGTCATGACTCTGGTGTCCCTCAGGGTTAGGAACCTCTGAGGCTGGAGTGGTCAGTGGGGCTTTCTCAAACGTACAGGAGTTTTAGCGTCACTGTGGCCTGTGAGGACAGCCTCCTTCCTCAGCAGAACCTGTACTGTGGCTTCTCTTACCCAGTCACCTTCTTCCCTGCCCAGGATCACCCCTCACTGCAACCTTCCCCAGATCCTAGACAGAAAAGAAACTGTAGGCCAGGCTTGCATTTCCCTGCCTTTCCCATGCCTGCACCCTCCAGGAGGGGGCGCCGATGAGTACAGTTGGCTGCACCCAGGATGCAGCTGCTCTGGGCCTGGCCCGTGCTCACTCTGATCTCTGAGCCCTGGGAAATAACCTGACCCTACAGAAGCCACCCTTGTCCGATCGCTTTGTTCGAACCCCACTGCCCTGTGGCCTGGATCAGTCCCTGTGGGTCCCCCTCCCCTGAAGAAGACCTCCCTGCACAAACCTAGAAGTGAGTCATGGCAGAAATTTGATGTCATTGAGCATTGGGGCCAGTCTGGGCAGGTGACCAAGCCTCCCAGTTTGCCCAGGACTGACAGTTTCCTGGGATACAGGACTTGGACTACCAAAATGGGGACGGTCCCAGGCAGCGCAGGACAGGAACAGGACAGCTGCTCTCTGGACCGTGATAACGGTGACTGGACTGCTTAGCAAGTTTTCTCAGTAAACACACCCCTGCGCCCTACCCCTAGATCAGGACCACGCCCCCTCCCACTGACTGTCCCCCAGAGACAGTCGTTACCCTCCTGTCTGTTGCCATAGTTCAGTGCTCCCTGGCCTTGTGCTTTGTGTAAATGAAATCATCAGGAGGAAGTACGACTTCTTTTGCTGGCCATTGAGAGATTAATTCACATGCGAATGCAAGCAGCTGGAGACGTTCGTTCTCCATGCCGTGCAGTAGGCTGTCGTCGTGTGGACATAATCCAGTCTTCAGTCGCTCTACATCACCTGGCTCTTGAGTCCTTTCCAGTCTGCAGCATTACAAGCATTCTAGTCCGTGTGTTTCCGTGAACACATCTATGCATTCCTGTCAGGTGTATGATCTAGAACTAGAATTACTGGGTCATTAAGGCATATCATTGTAAAGGAAAATTCTTTCATCAGGAGGAACGTGGTATTTTGGGTGCATTGCCACACTGTTGACTTGCAAAGCTAAGACCAAGAAATAGGAGCTTTTGAAATGGGGAGATTATTGTGGTGCCTGAGGGCCCAGGCTGCAGGTGGTTGGGCAGGGACATCAGGAGGAATGAGAGGAGTGTGTGCGGCAGGGACATGAAGGAGGAGCTGGTGACAGGCGCCGGCTCCCCCTGGCTTAGCCCTGCACAGCTCCCGCCCCCACTGCGGGCGTCTTTCCGGGACTCTTCTGGCTGCTCCTTCTGTGCTGCTGGGCCGGGAGTTCCCTGTGGAACCAGGGCTCTAACAGAGCACATAGTGCTGAAAATAAAAGTTGGAGCTAGATGGTGTCCCTTAGCCTTGCCATGCAGAGCTCTGGGTCCCCTGTCAAATGCAGCTGGCAGCAGCTCCCCAGCACCCACGGGGATCCTATGCCCTGCGCCAGCCTCGCTGTGGAGTCAGGCTGGCTGGCTGGCAGTTCCTCTCTGGGCCACTTCACCTGCATACAGAGAAACCCTCTGATCTCCGGGCTAGTGAGAGATGGCAAGGAGAGGGAGTGGGGGGCCAGGGTAAGGCGTCTGTTATTCAGCATGTTCGGTGAGCACCTCCAGCAGCTCCTGAAAACCTCAAATACCCACATCACATCTCTGCAGGAGTCCTATGACTCCTTCACCAGCCCAGGGAATAGGTGCTTCCTGTCCCTGCTTCTTCCCGGCCTGGTTCTCTCATTCCTGCTTCCACTTCGCCGATCTCCTGGAGGCCTTCTGAAGTGAGCAAGGCCCCCTTGGTTTCTGGCAGAGAGAGGAAGTACAGGGGAGCTCCCGGCCACACCTCCATGTGGGAGAAATGACAAACCCACCTCCTCTTCTGAGACTTCCTCCCCTCCACCACCTCCCCTCCTTGTTTCCTGAGCACTTGGTGTTCCCTTTCGCTGCCTCAGTGAAGCTATAGTCCTCCACACCCGCCTCGGCCTTGCTGTGCTACACTCCCCACCCTCCAAGGAGGGGAGGTAATTACTGTTTCATTTCCCTCCCTGTCATCTTCCTGGCTGGCTCAGCAACACATTTTCCCACTTCAGGTCATGTGTGGAGCACCCACCATGGTCGGAGAGTGAGGGGCTGACCCCAACAAGAGGGCGGAGAAGTGAGGCAGGGGAGCTCTTATTTATCCCGTCAGCCTGGGACGGCAGGGTGTCGGGTGCCTCTGCCTCTGGGGTTGGGATGACCTGCCTTCCCTCCCAGGTTGCCCAGCCTCTCCACTGCTGAGCCCAGAAGTGCTCTCTGATCGCCGCCCTCCCTGCTGCCTCACCAAGCCCTGCTCCACTTGCAGATTTTGTTGTCAGGGGACTTGGGCTATGGTTGACATGACTAAAGCCCAGGCAGGCTGCTGCTTCCTGACCACCACACAAAACCATGCTCAGCTTTCCCTGGGGACCTGCCCCGCCCTCTAGATGTCTCAGTGGAGGATCTGAAGGTTATAATGGGGGTAAAGATGAAACCCTTCTTCAGCATGCAAGAGCTCCGCTTGCAGACCTATGCTCCCCTTAGCTGGTTTATTCGTGCTGCCAGGTCATCTGTCTGTAGATTGAAATATGACATAGAGAGAGTGTAGCCAACGTGGCACCTCTGTGCCCCACCCCCACCCTGCTGTTCTGTCTTGAGGAGAAAAGACTCCCGTCCGGCTCCCTGATGATGTCCCGTTGCAGGAAGATTGGAAATGAAAGAATTAGGGTGGGAGCTGGAGCTCAGTGGTAGAGGGCTTGCCAGGCATGCTCAAGGGTCTAGGTTGGATCCTCACCTATCCTCCCACCAAAAAAAGGAGGAGGGGGAAAGGAGAAATTAGATGACTCTGCAGCCATGACCTTTGTGACTCATCCAAAAACATGCCCAGGGGCTGGGGATTTAGCTCAGCGGCAAAGCACCTGCCTGGCAAGAGCAAGGTTGTGAGTTCGGTTCCCGGTACCGGAGAAAAACCAAAACCAAAAAAAAAAACAAAACATGCCCAGACTGATTACAACTTTGTGAAAACCAGGTAAATCTGTGGGCTAAAAACTAGATAAGACTAGGAAGGGGAGACAGAGTTGTGCGTTACTGATAACAATAAAATATTTGTCAATTTGTTGATTTTTTAATAAATGCTGACTTTTTAAAATAAAAGATAGACATTAGGAGATAAGGGGATAAGGCCTTTAGTAAATGGGACGGGGACTAAGAGATGGAGGGGTAAGGGCAAAGGAAAAGAGGACATAAAAATAGGAGGTGTCGTGTACATGCAGCAGCTACTCACAATAAATGGATTTATGATGTACTACAAACGTGCTAACAAAATTTTAAAAACACACGTGATTCGTTATTGGAAATTCTTGGAATATAGTTCAAAAGAGAAAGTTCAGAGAAAATCCAGGAAATCCTGCCACCCAGAAACAGCCTTACTGAAAATGTGAACACTGTCATCATGCTGTATATGCAGCTATTTTGCATTTTATCTAGAGACGGGCGCTTACTATGGAAAATGCTGGGGTAGCCACGGTAGGCGAGCCAGCCAGGGCGGGTAGGACATGCAGAGGGTGTCTCAGTTAGCTGAGCGGCCAGGAGGGAAGAGGACCAGAGGCCAGAGGCCAGGAGGCTCCCCCTGTGCTGGCCCATGGTGCAGAGCTTAGGGCCTATCTTTGCAGGATTATAGCTCCTAATTAGGAAAGGAGCTTCAGCGAAGAGGACCTTTTAGTATTCCGCAGCAGGGCCGTTTGCCTTCCTGCCTTCTTCGCAGTGCTGCAGGACTTTCCTCTCACTGCTTCAAATGGAAAATGCAAAGACAAGAAGAAGCAGGTGCTGATAAGCAGAGACAGGCTGCTGCCTGGTGGGGCTTGCAGAGATGGGGGCAAGCTGAGAGGCCCTAGGAATCAGGCCCAGACTACCTGATGAGTTAAAGGGGAAACTGAGGCCAGAAAGGAGAAAAGAGTAGCATGTAATTTCAGATTGGTAAGCTCACCCTTCCCTCATGGGGATATGATGGAGAGCTATTATCTCTTTGCCTCTATAAAACATCAATCAGTGTCTTACTTTAAGAAGAATCATTTATGAAAGTCTATTATTCAAAAGCCCAAATACGTTGATTTGAGTGAGCTAATTCACTTTGCAGAAGCTTTCTTTTCTTTTTTTTTTTTTTTCCTTGGTTTTTCTCCGGTACCGGGAACCGAACTCACGACCTTGCTCTTGCCAGGCAGACGCTTTTGCCGCTGAGCTAAATCCCCAGCCCCTGCAAAAGCTTTCTTTTCTTTATAAAAGTGTTCACCAGAAGGTTTTTCACCATCATGAGCTTTCCCCCAATATTTCAAGTAGGCTTCGTTCTACCAAACTTGGCGTTTGGTTAGGAATAGGTATATTTTATAAGCCAAAGACTCTCAAATGCCAAAACAGCCCAGAAGCTGTTACTGGCTTATTGTCTATAATGAAGGGTTCATATGGGTTTGGGAGGCAGGACTGACTTTCTTTCTTTCTTTTTGTGGTACCTGGATTTGAACTCATGACCTTGCATTTGTCAGACAAGTGTTTTGCCACTGAGCTGTATCCCCAGGCCAAGAGAAAGGACTTTAATAAAGCCCTAGTTTGAGAGGTTGCTAGCTGAGAGCCCTAGATGTTTCATGTAAGGTTCAGACAGAGGCAGGGCAAGACCAGCTACATAATTTGCAAAATCGAAACACAAGGCCATGTTTTGAAACATTACCAAAAGAATTTCAAGATGGTGGCAGCAGAACATTAAACCAAGTGTGGGTTCATCTGAGACAAGACTACAGGCAGCTGTGCAGGTCACACATCATGGAGGGGTCTTCAGTCAGCATGCACAGTGGGGACTGACAGTAGAAGGAGGAGGGACACGAAGGTTAGAGATCAGGCCACTGAGCCCTAACTCTGTACTGTCTGGCTTTGAGAGTCTCTCCCTTCCAAATTTGCTTGGCTTAGGCTGCCGGTAAAGGAGTCGTTCCTGCAAGCACAGGTTGGTGGAGCTGAGCCTCTCCTGTGCTCTTAGAGCTGAACACGTAGATGTGGGTAGAGTTGGGAGGGAGGGCACTGAAGGGTGTGGCCGTGTTCACAGTCCCAGAGAGCCCTCATGGCAAGAGGCAGGAATGAGGGAGGAAGGCGCCTGTGAAGGTTCTGTGAGGGATGGGGCAGCCTGGGACCTGGGAAGAATGGCAGATGACTTAGTCTGGAAACAATCCTATTCTTCCACCCAGCGTCACAGGCAGGTAGTGTCAGGAGGCCAGGAATACCCCTTAAATGCACTGAACAACCAAGAAAAGATGAGGCCACAAAGGCTCCTGGAAGCCACCCTCATTCCTTTCACAGGGGGAGGAAAGGCAGGCACAAGCAGGCACCATGTATGTGAGCTGGGGGGGTGTGCTCCCAAGCCTTATCTTTGACCTCAGCACTCACCTGGGATGCTGTTCCTCACCACCACCATCTCCCTCACCCCTGCTCTCCTGCTCTTCTCCCCCAGGGTCAGCGGCCTTTCTCCCTTCATGGGTGACAACGACAATGAGACCTTAGCCAATGTTACCTCAGCCACCTGGGACTTCGATGATGAGGCGTTTGACGAGATCTCTGAGGATGCCAAGGACTTCATCAGCAACTTGCTGAAGAAAGATATGAAGTAATGAGCTGAGATTTCAGAGCTGTCAGCTTCCCCAGTCCTGGGCTGGTGTGGGAGACAGGGCTTCCTTGCCTGTGGGACTCCCTTCTCACCCGCTGGGGCCAGGCCAGTCCTTGTCCCAAGGAGGGGTTGGGAGGGCAGGAGTCCCTCAGCCCTGCTGTTGCACCAGACACCATATCCATCTTTAGAAGCACAGAAACCCCACTTGGAGCAGAGGGCTGCAGGAAGATAGCAACCTATCTGTGTGTTGCTCCTGTTACTTTCTGTGTATGGCAGTGGCCTGTCAAAGCTCTGCTGACTGACACCTCAGCCCCTCTTCAGGTCTCCTGAGGGACACACCTTCTCAACACACTAGAGCAGATGGCACAGACTGCTTAGCACTGTTGCAGGGTCCTCACCATATCCCGATTATTCTGGTGTGGTGTTCTTTTTGCCTCTAAATTATTTAGATAGTCTGGCCTAGTTCCTTCTAACCTAGAACACAGTAGGAGACCAGTATGTCCAGGTGTACAACAGCCAAGCTGTGAGAGGCAAAAGGTCAGATACACAGTGAAACCCCTTGGGATTTGAGTCAGAACTGGAAGCTGAGCTGGGAAGGAAACTAGAGTGGAGGAGGTGGCTGGGCTGTGCAGAATTCATTGGTGCTCTCCATCCTGGTGAGTGCAATCAGTAGGATTAAAGTGACAAGGTGAGAGGGCTATTTGTGTGTAGAGAGAGGTGCCTGGGGACAGGGAGCTGTGGGAATGTCAAGTGAGACTTTCTGCCTATTAGAAGCTTCTTACTCAGGAGGTAGGTGGCCAGATGAGGCATAGCCTGGCTCCAAGAGTCAGATTTGGCAATGGGAGCAGTTGCAGACCTGCCACAAAGGGAGATGTTGAAATAGGTGGTATAGAGGAAGAGAAGGGAAGAGGCGTGGTCTAGCGTTCACATTGACTTTATAGCCTAGGCTCTGCCTGTCTCTCAGGCCTGCGAGCCCTTTGAGGCAGCCACTTGTTCCCTCCTAGGAGAAATGCTATTAAAGATTGTGCAGCTGCTGTGTAGCGTGCTGCAGTCTCTCAGATAGCTGTGTCTGGTTCTCCTGTTACCCACCCCTCTCTCAGTCCACTTCAGCCATCTCAGGGCCAAACTCCCCTGGAGGTGACTGTCTATACTCCTGAACAGTGCAGTCTTTTAGCCTTCTGCTGTCAATCTTTGCATCAGAAGTGGACACAACCCAAGAAGAATTGGGATGTTGTCAGGGGTCTAGATTCCCTTCCAAGGTGAGGGGTACCCCACACCCAAGATGAAAACTTTCCTCCTCGTAACTATGGTTCAGGGATGGCTTTGGTCATTTGTTGAAGCTTTGGTAAATGGGATATTGTGCATATATCTTATTTCCTCATCTGACCCTAAATTAGCTCAGCAAGAAGCAACGGCAGGTTCCTTTGTGCTCATAATGGACTCAACCAAAGAACTGGTCTTAATCAAGTAGATCAAAACACTATAAACTGTTACCCCCAGCACCTCTTCAACCACAAATCTCTGCCAGCACTTTCAAGAATCTTTTTCTATTAAAGTAAAACATGTAAATTATAGAAAATTTGAAGACTATAAAAATTTAAAGCACCCATAGTCCCTTTATCTAAAGATCGTTACATTGTGCTATACTTCTTTCTAATCATTTTTCTATGTATGTTAGCTTTTGGTTCTTTGGGCCTTATTAGTCCTGTTACAATTAAGATAACAACCCTGAAACATTTCTAGAGCTTTAAGAAAGATTAAATGAGTTTTAGTACAGTTCTAAAGTTGCCAAAATTTATAGGTTCTATGTAGAGAATAACTCTTTAAACTGTAAGAGGAAAAACCTGATACTCAACCACACCCTAAGACCCAAGGAAGTTCAGTATTCTCAGAGGTTTGGTCCAAACATTTCAATCTCCCATCCTCCAGATGGGAGGGCAGAAGGATTAGGCCTTCACAGGCCCAGCCCCCAAGCCATCTCCAGATGAAGCCATTCTAGAACATAGTGCCAGCCATCATTCCCAGACTTGCCTCCCTTGTAGCACTTACCCTTCCAGAATTCCAAAAACAGGTCGTGAGACTCCAGTTTCCTTTGTGGTGGTTAAGCTTTCTCAACTCTGGCCTGTGTGGGGTCTAGTCAGGGTAAGCCAGACCAAGAGAGGGAAAAGAGCAGTGCACAATGACTCTGACCATGGTGGATGGACTGAGAACAGGGAGCTGTGGTCTTCCCTGTGTGAGTGGGGAAGGTGACCTCCCATTTCTGATCTGACCATTATCCCTGAGGTCTTCTGCTCAGAAATCTTCCAATTTCTGCCTCCATCAGAAACCGCCTGAACTGTACCCAGTGTCTTCAGCATCCATGGCTCATGAAAGATACTAAAAACATGGAGGCCAAGAAGCTGTCCAAGGACCGGATGAAGAAGTATATGGCAAGAAGGAAATGGCAGGTAATGCAGGGCTCCTTTGGACTGGGATGCTGCCCATCATATTTGCTTTATTCAGCTACTCTAACTCCCAACTTTCCAGGGCTTTACTCCAAGAAAATAAAAATTTGTTGCTGAAATAGTCCAGGACCAATTTTAAGCAGCTGATTAAGGTACAGTGTTAAGCTAGGTCCTGAGTGCAGTCTTTTGCACAGAGGAAACCAGTTGCTCAACCACAACTTCTCTCCACACACACTCAGCTTGGTCCCAGACGTCCAGTAAGGGCAGCCTGGTGCACCAGCCTTCATTCCTGCGAAGCCATTCGTGTCTCATGTGTTTAGGAGAGGGAGGAGCAGCAGCATCTTGAGGTCTGTTTGGCAACCCTGGAGAAGGTGAGCTCTTGACAGGTAATGCGATGGTCAGACCTTTACTTACCATCAAGGAGGGAACACCTGCTCCAAAGCAGGAGCACAGTCTCTACTGTCTAGGGGTGCTGGCTGTTACTAGCCATGTGTTTTCAGGCAAGTCACTTAACCTTGCTGTGGATTTGTTTTCTCATCTGTCAGGGGGGGATCATGCTACCAGTATCACAGCATTGTTGATAATTATATGTGATAGTTATCACCTTTCTTTAGCACAACGCTGGCACAATAGAACACTCTAACATGCTACCAGTAGCTAATATGTACGGGGACTGGCTGTGGCTCAGGGGCCATTCAGAGCATTAAATCTTTCAATCTTACATTTTATTATTATTATTATTTAAGACCTTTATTAACAGGTGCTTGCAGTTTGTTGACTTTTTTGAAAAAATCAAGTTATAAACTTTTACTACAAATTAAAAATGAAGTTCTCAAAAATCTCAACTTGACCAGATATGAAACAATTTAAAAACCTTTAAAGGTGTATTGAGAAAAACCAGGTTTGTCATTACCAAAAAGAGACATCTTTAGGTAAAAATAATAAAAACCCCATGCTGCATAGATAATGCAGATAGTTCTAGTTATCTGGTCACCGGGCAAAAAGCAAGCACTTAAGGTCTTCAGTTCCAATCTTTTGTTCATTTCTTATTGTTGGAATTTCCCATTCATTTCTTCTTGCTGGATGACTAAACCAGATGATGGTAGAGATGTTAAGCTGGCATTTACTCAGCCTCATCCTGCTCAGCCTCAGAGCGGACGAATTCACAGCTGGTGGATCGGCTGCTTTTGTCTCTTTGCCATCTTGTGGATTAGGGTTTTCTGGGCGTCTGCGTAGGTAACTGAAGTTGCGGCACTACTGACATTGAGGCGGCTGCTGACCTCGGGTCTCACCTCCTTGATTTTCCTTATCCTCTTCGTTGCCGTCCTCTCTAGGCTGTCTTTGGCGAGGAGGGCCCCTGCGGAATCATGGTCTATAACCTCAATACATATTCTGTCTCACTTGTCTACCTTGTTCTCCTGCACCCTGGCTGTCAGCACCCTCCATCACGTCTCCTTGCACGGGAGGGTTGGAATACTGTGGTCAACGCCCATAGGGTCTCTGCCTGTAGTAAGGTGGGAACCTTCGCCTGTGGTAGGGCCGGCATTGTTGGGCCTGGCCTTTAGGAGTGCTCTCCAATCCCTCATTCTTTTCCCCACTCTCACTATTCTGGTAATTCTGCTGGTAACTGCGTGGAGGACCCCTACTACGTGGATAGCGTCTATAATGGTTATGGTCTGCTGCGTATTTACTGTCTTGAACTGGAACGCCACCAGGGCTTGTAACATTTGCTGCCTCCATACCTTTTTCTCCTTCAACATCAAACTCCACAGTCTCTCCATCTCCTACACTGCGAAGGTACTTCCTGGGGTTATTCTTCTTTATGGCAGTCTGGTGTACAAATACATCTTCCTTGGTGTCATTCCTGTTGATGAATTCCATTTTTTACATTGAACCATTTTACTGTTCCCGAAACCTTCGTTCTGATGACCTTCTTGTGAGTCCACCAGGGCCGCCACTCCCTGCACCACTGCCCGTGGTGCTGGGCTCGGTGTCAGCAGCGCTAAGGGCGGTGGCGGCGGGGTGGGCGGCAGGCGGCTGCTGGGTCTCGGCCTCACTGCTCATGGTTGCGATGATGGTGACTAGGGCGGCTGCAGCAGCTGCGGCTCCTCCGGGGGTGTGACGGTAACTAGGACAGCGGCGGCAGCGGGGCTGCTCAGGGTTCTCTGGGGTCCACTCTCCGCTCCCGCTACCAATCGAACTCTCTTTTTAAAAAGTTTTTTAAAGATCTTTCAATCTTAGGAGACAGGTACTATTAGGAGACAAGTACAAGTACAGACAGACCAAGATATGAAGGTTACATAGCTAAAGTGGAAAAGCCGGGACTCAAGACCAGAACCTGGCTCCAAAGCATACAGTCTTAACAGCAACACAGAACTGCCTCTGATACAAGGTGGATAACATTATTATCTAAAAATATCCAATTATTATCCAAAACCATGGAGCACTTAGCACCATCATCACCTACTTCATTGTTTTATCATCACAATTTGTTTTACAAAATTCCTGGGCTGCTGGAAAGGACACGGTTTCCGTCCTCAGGGAATGTATAGTGCAATGAGGAACTGAAGCAAATAGACATAAAAGGACATACAGCACACCAGGAATTATAAACTATCGGTATAGCACTCCATAACCATATATGTGAGTGTGACAGGAGAGGGGCTGGGTGTACCCAGAGTTGATGTGGTTATGACTCCTCCAGGGGCAGGAGTCAAAAGTGAGACATGAAACATGAGCTAGAGCGAGCCCAGAGAGGAAGGAACAACAGCACAGGCAGAGAAGATAGAGAGGGACTGGGCTGCACAAGAGCAATCTTTAGCTGGAGATTGAGGCAACCCAAGGGCATGAAATTGCCTATATGATGGAGAAAAAGGCAGTCACTGGGACACTGGGCATTGCCACATGACGTGATTAAATCACAGTTCCCTCCAGAGGACAACTGCACGCAGAGGTTGAGGTTGAGAGGGAGTAAAGGAGCACAGCTGCCTGCAGGAGCAGGGTTCATGGAGCTTCCATCCTGGCCCATGGCAGCCAGAGCTCCTCTGCAGTGGAAGTCAGCTCACAGCTAACACACACTAACCCTGTCGGCAGTGGGCTGGGTCTCCTGGGGCCCTCAAATGCGTGGTGGTTTGGAATACCTATTCGACTTACCACTGGGGGCCTTTAGAATCAGAGTAGCAAATGCTCTTTCAAAAAAAGGAAGGGGATCCACAAAAATTAAAGGTTGATTTTATTAATGATCCTCTCACCTGCAGATCTCAAAGCACTAATTCTGGAAAAATAGGGCAGGTGGTGTTGGGGTGGGGCGGTCCTCAGAGCAGCAAGTCTACCTAGATCTCACTTGGATGAAGCTGTGGGTTAAGGGTGGCTTTATCATCTCAGAACATCTGCAGGTGGATCGAAGCCAAGAGGAAGCCTGAACCCAGGGGACGGGCAAAGAGAAGAGGAGATGGGAGGAGGCCAATGAGGTATTGCAGCCAGAAAATCGTAGCTGGGGCTAATATTTTAATCACTTAGCTTTTTTTTTTTTCTTGTTGTTCATAGTGTTATTAGCCATAAGGTTTTCTGGAAGAGGGTTGGGGAAGTAAAAGGGAAGACTTCAGAGAAGGAACCTTAGTCCCATCTTTTAATATGGGTAAAAGCTTTTGGAAATAATTTTTCTGCAAAATCAGTGGTTGGGTGTCACAAAATTGGCTGCAGAAGTAGTCGACAACATCCCATTCCCCATGTAATGCCCCAAGTGTAATTTCACTGGGAACAGTTCAGCTGCATCCAACCTGCTGTGTTAGGCCGCTTCCGTTTTCCACATTTAATCTCCATGCTCAGGACCTTAGCACCCCTGGACTAGGGGGTTTCCTCTCTGAGCCACCCAGGTTCTGTTTGGTAGGGCAGTGGAGAGTGGACTGGAATACAGTATGTGGTGAGCTGGCATCAGGGGGAGAGCAAGGCAGGCCCAGGTGGCCCAGCTAACTCAGGAGGAAACATCTAACTGTTCTGGTTTCCATAAAACGCCCTAGGAAAAAAGAGATACAGCAGAACAGATCCCTACAAACAAGGCTAGGCTGGGTATAGATGGTTTATCATGTTACTGACCTTACAATGAAGTTACTCTGAAAGACCGATGTTAAATTCATATTGGAAGAATTTCACAAAGACTTGTTGGTAAGGAGTGACAGTGGAGATAAGTCAAATGGGGTGACGAGGCTTCTGTGTGCAAACTGCAGGTAAAGTACTAGGAACTAGAGGCCTCTAGGTAACTACCATTATTTTCTGGGAACTACAACGATTCCAGCAGTATGGACCAAAGAGCAACAAAGGAGAAAGCGTTAGACTCAAGCACAGGCTGTTCTTGGCCGTCACACTTGGATATTACCGGAAAATATCCCGGGAACTTGCAATCTTGAAACTATTGGCATGTTTGTAGAATCTTGATGGCTGGCTGGTCCTAGAGTGACCAGCTTGCCTCAGTTTGCCAGGGACCATCTGGGTTTTAGCACTGAAAGACTAATCCTGGAAACCCCCAAGTCCTGGGCAAAGTGGGATGGCGGGTCATTCTAGCAGACTCTCCCAGGGCTAGGGCTTCTGCACTGTATTCAGGAGGGCCCTGACAAATGCCACCCACTATGGACACAGGAACTCAGCTTTGATAGTTGCCCTCCCATGAGAAAAAGCCTTTCTCAAAACAAGGATGGAAGTTAAAGCATTGAACTGTGGCTGTTTTCATTTTGGGGGCTCCTGCACTTGGTCATGCTGGTCAGTTGTCATCTCTCACCATCTTCTCCTCATCACCCCATCTGGGCTTCCTGGGTTGTGTTCAGAGTAACCCAGCTGCCCTGGGACAGCAAAGGGCCAGAAGTACACCCACCCCCCTGAAGTCTGTGCAGTGGGTCGGAGGGTGGATGGCCAAAGGACAGGGCAGGTTGGAATGTTGGACCAAAGTACACAGAAACTGTCCACAACAAGCCGGGCAGGGAGCATGACAGAAAAACGTGGTTGCAACAGTAGGTCTCTGCTTAAACCCGCCCCCCCACACACACACACATCTTTTCAGTAGACATAATCTTTGTGCTGAAAACACTGGCCTTCCAGGTAGTCAAAACTGCGAGGATTCTTGAGTATGTGAAGTTAGTTGGAGAGGAAATGGCTTTGCCGGCACAGTTTGAGGTCCGGGAGTGACAGCCAGGCATCTTCCTGTGCAAAGGCTGTTTCCTGACTCCGTGAGAGGGAACAGGCAGACAGACTGTGATGACAGCTGGTCTGTGACTACACAGCTTCTGGACACCAAAAAAAGATGTGACAGGGCAGAGGTAGAAAGACTCGGTTGTTTTAGCTTCCTTAGCCATTCCCACTGACCCTAGAAACAGGGTAAGTAACTTTACTAAAAGATGAGACACAAGTGTACATATTGAAGATTTCTTGACCTAAATCCTATGCTTGGTAGAATTTTCACAATCCAAAAATGCTCCATCTCAGTTTCTGATCCTTTCAGCAGAAACTCTGTCCTCCCCCAAGGGGCCTATTCAGATACCAGTTTTAGAAGCCTAAGAGGACACAAGGACAAATACCCCTCTGGACTCTACTGCACAGCCATGACTTGTGCTAGAGCCAGTCTTACTGTTTCTCAAAATCTCTTAAGTATCTGACTCATAAACAGAACTAAGTGGGACCTTAGAGATCATTTTGCTCAACCCTCCAATACCCAGAAGAAAGCTAAAGCCTGAGAGGTTAAGTGGCCTCACCAAGGTCAGTACGCTGCTTTTTTCTTTTGCATCAGGACCCATGGGATCTGTAGTAATGATTCTCTTGACCAGTTAAACTCCTATCACTGGCATTGTTTTACGAGAAACAGCCCTACTGGGTCCAGTCAGCAATAAGTCTTTGGAGCTGTCTCAGCCCGCAGTTGCTTTATATAAACTATCCCTTTTATGGGAGTTGAAGCACAGTATGAAAAGGGTTTTTGTCTCATGTTGACCTTGTTTAGTCACATTAAGGCGCACATCAGTTCCAGGCCCCATTCCATTCTCCGAACATCTTCTGACACGCCGATAGTGCCGAGCAGAGTAAGGCCGGGCTCACTCCTCTGGCAGAACCTCTGCGCTGCTCAGCCTGAGAAGCCCTCAGTTAAGGGAGCAGCTGCCTCTCCGGGCTGGGCTCTTCTCCCTGGATCCCCAGCACTGCCCCGCTGGAACCAGGGACGCCGCCTGAGTCTGAACTGCATCTATTTTCCAGAAAACGGGCAATGCTGTGAGAGCCATTGGAAGACTGTCCTCTATGGCAATGATCTCGGGGCTCAGTGGCAGGAAGTCCTCAACAGGATCACCAACCAGCCCCCTCAATGCAGAGAAACTAGAATCTGAAGGTAAGGAGTGCCTGGAGAATTTCTCGGCTGATGTGAAAGCAAGGGTTGGGGGCGTAGTTGGGTACAGTGTACGCACTTGTAATCCCAGCACTCTGGGAGGCTGAGGCAGGAGGATTGCAAGTTGCAACTCAGCCTGGGCAACTAAGCAACTTAGCAAGACCCTGTCTCAAAATAAATTTGTTTTTAAATGGCTGGGGATGTATCTCAGTGTGAAGGCCCTTTGTTCAATCTTCAGTCCTGCCAAAGAAAGAAGGAAGAGAGAGAGGGAGGGAGGGAAGAACAGTGGGAGGGAGGGAAAAAGAAAAGGTTGGGGGATGGAGGGGCATTTTAAGGATTTGGGGTTTGGTTTTGTTTTTTCATCCACCCTCCAAAGATAAATTCAGAAATACTTTTGGGTTGCCTTGACAACTACTAAGTCTAGTAATTGCTCTCTAATTGTTAAGCTGTACATTAACTATTTTCAGAGGAAAAGTTATTTGTCTAATATAACTAAATAACTTCAACCATTCTTTTCCCTATCTTTTGTATAAGAATTAACAAAGGCTTCATTAAAAGCTTCCCTTTTTCATATTATAAAAGTGAACTTGCATATTGATAAGCAGAAACAAAAAAAATTACATATACTGAGCTGTGTAACACTCGTTAATATCCTTCGATTTTCTACTGCCCTTGTGTTTTTGTTCGGAACAAAAATTAACTTGCATGGCCCCCTGCCTTGCCATTGTTCATGCTGCTGAGGCATGTTGGAACTGAGCACCCTGCCACGGGCCGATCCCTCCTGGAGGCCACAGGGCCAGCTCCTTGTCCACTGCCTTTGGGACGTTTCCCCAACCTCCTCCTCAGAGGCATGCAGGGCTGGCCCTTGTTTTCTTTCCTGAGGAGCTTCACTGGCCAGGGACACCCCTGGCCCACACTGCCTGGAGCTCTTGGCATCCACAGGTGAGAAGCTGAGTCTAGGTCCCTTCTGTGCACCAACGCAGGGTGGCTGGTAAGGCCCAACGATGGTGGCCCTGAAGCTTCCTTGCTGCCAGGAAGCGAGTGCAACACAAGGACCTGGCCCTCACAAGCCACTCCTGCCACTCTCCAGGTGACCCAGAAATAGCCTGAAGAGGGGAAGAATCCACAAGCACCCCTCAAGGTTCCAGCTTTTTTCTGGAGCTGTCCCTCATTCGGGTCCACACTTGTACAACATGCAGGCCAAAAGTGTACAGAAGAGAACGTTGGCATGTTGAAGGCTCCTTCAACTAAGGAGCGCCTGGCTCCTCCTGGCTCCTCCCTGCTAGTGCCTGGCTCCTTCCTGCTAAGGAGCAGGTGAAGGACCTGCCACAGCAGGATGAAGGGGCACTGAGGTCAGCAAGCCTGGAGAGGCTCTGTCCTTCCCAGGCACTCTCACCTGAATCCTGAAGCGACATGAAGTGCAGCCAAAGATCCTTTTAGAGATGACTTCCTTTTTCAATGTGTCAGCATCAGGCAGGGGGAGGCTGAACATTTCCCCATTTTGGGCACAGTTCTTCTGGCTGCCAAAAACCATTTGGCAGCCAGCCAGCCCATTCCTGAGAGAAAGGCGTGCTATGATTCACTTATTTTCTAAATTATAGCAACTTGTTTAAAAAGTAGGGGAATGAGAGAGAACAAGGGATGAAGAACTGACCCAGCTCTCTCCTTGTCTTGCAGAAGATGTCTCCCAGGCTTTCCTTGAGGCCGTAGCTGAGGAAAAGCCCCACGTGAAACCCTATTTCTCTAAGACAATTCGAGACTTGGAAGTCGTGGAGGGAAGTGCTGCTAGATTCGACTGCAAGATTGAAGGTGAGCTGGGCCACAGCTGTTCTCACCACACACAGGGTGGCTACATGTGGAGGGCTGGGCCAGGCAAGGTGCTGGGTCTGTGCTGCCCACAGCAATGGGGACATGCAGGCCACGAGGACCACTGAGTGAGGGGGACCTGGCCCTATAGGACAGCTCCTGCCAAACCCACTTCCTGAGGTTTAATGCCTTTCTGTGACTTTCCTAGGGGACCGATTTTCACCTACTTATACCAGCAGTGAGACCTGCAATTTAAAACAGTTTGCCAGGATCCTCCCTGGCTATAAAACTTACATAATGAAGTGGGCTTTGCCAACCACTGAGGAGCTTGTGATTGGCCACAAGAGCTCTCAGAGGAAGGTGGCCACTGAGGGCAGAGGATCAGAGTCGGCAGCTCTGCTGCTCCTTGGGTGGTGATCTAATGCTGCTGAGTTTAGGCTCCTCATCTGTAAATGACATTGAACACTCAGTGTGGTCCTGGAAGATCTGTGAGGCCATGCATGTGAAAAGGGGAAACCTTATGTCTTTCAAGGAAGTCATGGGGAAGTGGTAGGTTGGTAAGTGCGGAGGGAGAACATGCTCTGAGTAATGTCACGCTGAGGAAAGTTGGGGCTCAAGGACCTTATAGGATCTTAGCATGGAACCCAAGAAATTAGCAAAGTCGATGACAGAAAGCCCCCAGTTGCCACAGATTATAACACTGTAGAAAGATAAGGGCAGGGCAGGATAGGACAGGTCTCCTGGCTTCAAGTCTGTGACTTTCACATGCCAACCAGAGTGGAGAGTTACCTCCCATTTTGGCCTTGACAAATAAAGCCCAAAAATCTTTTAAGCCATTTCCCCAAGGCCAATACCACGGAACAGTGTCAGAACAGAGCACACCTCCCCTGTGGTGTGATCTCAGCTCTGCAGCTCCACAATGCCTTCTGAGGAAAGAACCCCACATGAGGAATAGAAAAAAAGGTTTTCCCCTGAATCTTCATATCATCAAAATGTCTTGAAAATTCTTGGCCTGCCGTTATTTTTCTTTTTCATCTAATTAAAAAAATGTGAATGTACTGCCTTTGGTAGTGTGAAAGTTCTCAGATTAGGGATTTTGCTGACAGCTGTGGAGCCACTGCCTTAACTCTCACCCTTGGCATTGTCTTTGGGTCTTTTGAGGTTCTTTCCTTCTTCCTTTTTAAAAAATTTTTTTAAAGTATTGCATAGTGAGTATCATCTTTTGTATTAACTTTTCTCTTTGGGATTTGCATTAACATCTGATTGGAACTCTAATGAGAAATTAAAACACATGGATGCTGCTTTGATAAAAATTAGCTGAATGTGGTGGCACAAGCCTATAATCCCAGCACTCTGGGAGGCTAAGGCAAGAGGATCACATGTTTAAGCCGAGCCTGGGCAACCTAGGGACTTAGCATGACCCCTGTCTCAAACTAAAAAAAAAAATTTTAATTGAAAAAGGCTGGGGATGTAGCTCAGTGCAAAGGCCCCAGGTTTAATCTCCAGTACTACAAGTAAGCAAATAAAAAAATAAAATTATCCTGGAAAAGAATGTTAAAATTCTTAAGTTTTGTGTATAATTTTTTTTCTGGCTGGGGCTACAACTTTTTTCCTCTAAAAATCTCTGAAATTTAAGAGCAAATTTCTCAGACTGTAATGTGTGTGTGTGTGTGTGCACATGTGCAATGTTGGTGACATAGATGTATATACAAACACACCTTTAAAACCTACAGTATATGTTTTTATATGTGGATTTTATATATTTTTAATACTGCCATTTGTAGAATCATGACTAATGTATATCATGAGGCCAGTCAGTGAGGCCCATTTCAAATTATCTAGACAGATACCTGCTTTAGGTCAGCCTAAGATAAATATATCTTTCTTTTTCTGAGCAATATTTCCAGTTCCTCTATCTTATGTTTCATATAGCTGTCAGTCTGATTTATTGATTTATAATTTGTATACCATAAAATTCACCCATTTTAAGTGTACAAGTATTTTTAGTAAATTTACAGTCATGCAGCCACCAGCACAATTCATTTTTAGAAAATATCAGGCCCCAGAAAGTTCCTTTAGCCCATTTGTGCTCTGATTTTTAAATCTGAGTTAAGCCTTTACACAAGATTAAAAGGTTTATTTTCATCCAAGCGGATATTTGCCTGAGGTGTGTCATTCGAGTTGGGACAGTATTTCACCAAGTGCTTTCTCTTTGCCTAAAGGCAGGGCATGGTGAAAGTACAACATGGGTGAAAAAATGGACAGCTTTAAAATACCCAATTTGGGGTTTCATCTTAGTATTGGTACAACACATGCCCATATTCTAATATAGATATCAAAACTAATACTAGGGCTGGGAATTTAGCTCAGTGGCAAAGTGCCTGCCTGGCAAGTGCAAGGTTTTGAGTTCGATTCCTGGTACTGGAAGAAAAACAGAAAAAAAAAAAAACTAACACTAATAGCCTACATCTTAATTTTTCCTTGATCCCCTTAATCAGTGTAGGTAGCTTAAGAGTTGCCTATATGAATTGGTAAGAAACTCAGAATAACAGATTCTGCAACTTGTGTTCTCTCTCTGTGGTGCAGGATACCCGGACCCTGAGGTCGTCTGGTTCAAAGATGACCAGTCAATCAGAGAGTCACGCCACTTCCAGATAGACTACGATGAGGATGGGAACTGCTCTTTGATTATTAGTGATGTCTGTGGGGATGACGATGCCAAGTACACCTGCAAGGCTGTCAACAGTCTTGGAGAAGCCACCTGCACGGCAGAGCTCATTGTGGAAACCATGGAGGAAGGAGAAGGGGAGGGGGAAGAGGAAGAAGAGGAAGAGTGAAACAAAGCCAGGGAGAAGCAGTGTCTAAGTCATTTTAAAAGGACTATTTTTCTAAAGCTCAAAAAACTCCAGACAGTAAATAAAGGCACCTAGTGTGGTAGGTTATCTAGTTAGGTCATGTGGGGGTTGATTCATCAGCAACAGCAATTGATACTTAGTACCGTTACTGGTGGGCATTAGTATGAATTAGCTGACACCTGCAGATAAAGTGTGGCTACATTTCATTTAGGGAAATCACCAGCAACTTGCATGACCAATTGGCTTTAGGGAAAAAGTAACCAAAAGTATTTATCCCGGCAAAGTCATGAATGCAGCCATGAGTATCAAGGCCACATCTGGGCTCTGTGCCCGGTGGCCCTGCTCAGCCCAGAAGGCCCCTGGAGACAGGTGGCCTCTCTCCCTAGCCTCTGGTTCCAGAGAACTGGGTCTTCTCCAACACTGCAGCATTTCATTCTGAAAGCAGCTGAGCCATTCTGCCTTCCAGGGCATATTTTTTCCAAAGCTCACTGTAGAAATCCACACTCTTTATTCCTCTCCCCTATTTCACCTGCAAGCTTTTCTGGATCTGAATTTGTCATAAATTTCGGCACTAGGGACATTAACTGTGCTTCATAGATTGTGAAGAAAAGAACCCTGCTCACGGCTGACTCTTTTCTTCTAAAATCAGTAGGGAATCTAAACTAAACTTAGCCCCTCTTTTCAAGTGTCTAGCAGCTTCCAACTTTTCAGTAAGAACCCGTGGGGGCGTGGGGCAGGTCCTTGCTGATGTGCTTTTCTTCTTCAGCCAGGATTCAGATTTGTGCTGTTACTGGGTATCAGCCTGCATGCGTGGTAAAGATTTTTGTGTCTGAATGTGGAAAAAAAAAGCAGTTTGCTGAAATGTTAATCTTGATTATTTATTGGGCACTATGAAATGTATTTCAACTCATGAACAGCTGCAGAGCTCCTTTACTTTGGAATTGTCTAGTCTGAGTTTAATACATCTTTACTCTCCACACGTCCGAAGAGCTCAGCCTACCATAGGGTTCCACGCTATTTTCCTTTCTGACTACCCATCAATCATGCCTCGCCCCCAGTTTTGAAATATATTCTTAGACCTGACAAATGCACTCAGACTTGCATCTGTAGGAATTTTTAACTTTTTTCACTACATTGGCACTTAAATTTTTTCTTTATAAAACTTTTTGGTCACAGACCATAAACAAATACCATAAATGGATATATCTAGTACATTTCCTCTGTGTGTGTGTGTATGTGTGTATAACATTCCAAGTACTCTTTTCTTTTCCACTGTTTGTAAAGTGCAGCAACTTAATATTCCAATGGTTTTTCTAATAGCTCCTTATGAACCAATCTTAAATTACTTCTGTGCAATCCTAGCAAGTATCAATGTTAGAATTTTGATATTACTTAATCTTATGTTATCTTCCATTCTATTGTTAGCTACATTTTCAAATTGCCAGTATTTTTCCTTTTTTGCTTTTTAAACAGTTACAGTATTTTTCATTATAACCACAGTATTGCCACAATTTATTATAATAAAGGGGTTTTAATTTGATTTAGACCAAAGTGTTTTTTCATCACTTCAGTTGTGTTTAGAATATAATTTTGTGTGTGTGTATGTATGTTGTGTGTATGTGCATGGGTGTTATATACATGTGTTTACAGCTTTATGCCTTCTTGGGATTGTGTTAATGTTCTTTTGGTTTATTATGCCATCAGAATGGTAAATCAGAACACTACAAATGTAGTTAGCTCACAGTTTTTAAATAAAGGATACCACAGTGCATGCTGTTTGTTTAATCTCTTTTTTCCTTGTCACCAAATGGAGAACCCACAGATGAATCTTGGTAACTAAAGCCAAATGCTGTGCTGCATAAATTTGAAGAATTGGCTTAATGAACTGGGTATGATGGCTATTGTCAGCTTTAACTTTATATAAAGACTGTCTTTCTTTTTTATCAGAATATTTGAAATTTGCATTTTGTTTCACATCCTACCTACATTTGATAAGTATCAAGGAGGCAATGGAATTTGATTCTGAAGAAACACTTCCCCACTTTGCAAGAACACAGAAGTAAGGGGCTGGGGATTTAGCTCAGCGGCAAAAGCGCCTGCCTGGCAAGCACAAGGTCGTGAGTTTGGTTCCCGGTACCAGAGAAGAACACAGAAGTACTGTTTTCTTTATCCCCCAGAACATCCTTCTCTTTTCCTGAAACGGGGCCAGTGTCTGTGGCAGCCATCATGAAGCTTCTGAGCTCCTGCCACAGAGGACTTCCATCCTGGCTTCTGGGTTAAGGGGCTCTGTGAGCAGAAGTGCCATGTGTCTGCTCTAGGCCACAGCACTCAAGTGCTGGCACAAGGCAGTCGAGAATGACCGGTGACTGCTCTATCCATCTGTGCCCCCAGCCAACCCAAAATGGGCACACGAAACAGCAAGAAATAGACCTCAGTTCTTATAAATCACCAAGACTTCGGGATACTTTGTGGCTGCAACATAACTAGACTATCCTGATACAAGGTCATCACCATGTTCAAGATCAGTGAGACCAGTATGGGAGCAAGCTAATCACAAGGATCTACTTAAATAAGTTGAGTGGAAGTTCAATTCCTCAGTTGCATGAGCCACATTTCAAGTGCTCAATAGTCCCATGTGACTAGTGGCTACTGTACTGGTCAACACAGATTAGAAATTTTTTTGTAAAGCTCTATTAGCAGTGTTCTAGGTGAACTAGAAGGAACAGCAAAACTCCAAATTTTACTTTAACTATGCTTAACATCACTTTTCAAATTATTATAAAATTAGGCCAGGTGTGTGGTAGTGCATATCTATAATCCCAAATACTTGAAAGGCTGAGGCAAAATCTCAAATTCAAGCCCAGACTGGGCAGCTTGGTGAGACTCTGTCTCAAAATAGAAAGGCTTGGGGGGTATCTCAGTGGCAGAGCACTTGCCTAGCATGTGTGAAGTCCTGCTTTGATTCCTGGTACCGTGACAACAACAACAACAAATGATTGTGAACTTAAAAGCTTCTGTAAAGTTAGTCTGGAGAGCCATGGCCTGTAATTTCCTCTATTATACTAGATAATATATACATAATATATACTCCGTACTCAGGTATCATTGTAGTTCATTATCATATACAACTTTTTAAATTTTTGTTTGCTGTTGTGGTACTGGGGATTAAACACAGAGCCTTTGAACTGAGGTATATTCCCAGTCTTTTTTTGTTTTTTATTTTGAGACAGGGTCTCCGTGAGTTTCTAGCTTGCCCACAGTGGGCTCAAACTTGAAATCCTCCTGCCTCAGCTTCGCAGAGAGCTGGGATTACAGGTGTGCACCACGCACGCCTAACTTTCCATTTTTAAAGGCATTTTAAAAGTACCACTTTTCTGCTTCAAAATATAAATACACTTGCAATTCACAAGCAACTACCAGATCACCTGTGATGTGAGACAACCAGCAAGGGCAAAATTCTCCCGTGTCTTCGGAACTTGGCACTACTGGAGATGGGAGCACTAGTAGGGACACAGGAGATGGACGCAGAGAAGGGAAGGTCAGGGTGCCAGGAAAGTGTGGGTTTCCCCAACATTGAGCCAGAAGAAAGGAAAGAAATTATCCTGACAGCTATAATCACTTTAACCTCAGCTGGCTGTGATCTTGTCTCCCTTCGCTGAAATAGGCAGCACCCAGGAGATCTATAGCACTTGGAATTAGTATTACATTTCTAACAGCTGATGTTTGAAATTTTAACCTTCAGGCCTGGCCCAAGGTCTGATTGCTCAGACACTATGGGAAGGCTTTCTATCAGAGACTATAGCCCCAGGAGTTTCTGTCTGAGACCCATAAGTTTCCACAAGACATTATATGATTCTTGGACTAGAGATCTCCTTGTTGGAAATAACTAAAGAGAAAGAAGTGACCAATTAACCTAAGTCAGTTTGGCCATTCTCAGTTGTCTTTTAGGCAGATGGACTAGCCTCCAGTAGTTGAGATAGATTGATCCAATAGGTCTTTTCCACAGCCTTGCGCCAAGGGATATGTTACAGTGAGAGATATTCTCAGACCAAATTCATCACACATTTGTTAGCAAGTAATTATACAACCATTTCTGCAAGGTTCATGAAGTCCTAGATCTGTCTCTCTAGAAAGCATTTTACATGTTCATTGAGGACAAATGCTTCTGTACACACCTCGGTTGGGATCCAACTAACCTGGTTAATCAGCCAAATGGAGACAGTTCCATTCAGAACTATCTTTGGAACTAACTTGCCTGACTTAAGCACAAGTTTTATTCCCTCTATAAAATATCTTATTATTTCTTACTATAGCTATATAGTTTGTGACTTGAATTCATCATGTATAAAATTAGAGAAATACTAGACCCATTCATAGGTTAATATCAAGGTTAAATAAGCTCATGGACAGTATCTGAGTCCACAGTAGACCCCTCTTCAGACACTCAGAGATGCTGAGAAATGTCAGAAACAGTCTCTCCCTCCAGGAACTGATTACACTCCTGCAGAAACAAAATTTATGTGTTAATATACTATGAAAGAGGGAAGAATTAAATTCTACTCACTTCCCACATGAAAAAGGATGTTTGAAATAGAAAATTCCTACAAAGCTTTTTGTAAGGGGGGGTGGCGGGGGGTTGAAGGGAATGGAGGAGAATAGGGAAAAAAAGAAGAATCAAGATATATTATGTACAAGTACAAATTCCCTATAATGAATGTGATCATGATGTGATCACAAAGGTACCAATAAAATTAATTTTTAAAAATTTTTTAAAAAGAGGGGCTGGGGATTTAGCTCAGCGGCACAGTGCCTGCCTGGCAAGCGCAAGGTTGTGAGTTTGATTCCTGGTACTGGAGAAAAACCAAAAAAAAAAAAAAAAAATTTTAAAGAGAAAATTCCTATGCAACTGCACACAAAATAACTGCTGTGAATTTAGGAAATGTGACAACTGCCCTCTTGATCTATGGAAGTTTCAACTCCCAGTTCAGAAATACTCTTTTTCATAGTCAAAGAAGAAAAGCTCATCTGACCTTAGAATCTTACTTGTCAATCAAAAGGAAACTTCTCAGTCAGTTTAATTTTAATCACACTTAACCTTTATCCCAAAATGTTCCCTAAATTTTAATTGGTACTTACAAGAGCTAATTCACATTGATTTGTTTCTGATTATATATTAACTACAGAACAAACAGGGCTTGGATAGGAAAAGGCTGAGTAGGTATCTTTTTTTAGATTGTCTAGAAAGCTTAAAACTGAGGCACCTATCCTAGGAAACCAGCAGATGAAGGGCTTAGAAAATAGAAAGCTACCATAATAGAGAGAAGGCCCAACATGAACTATTGTGGATAAAATGGGATTCCATACTCCTCAGAATTTCCATTAAAGGAATAGCAAAGGAATACAATTCATTAAATCTATAAACTTTCAGATAGGAAAACAAAATATGGGTGATGGCAGTTGAAAAATATCAGAATCTTGGAAGATGGAAAGCAAAGACTGGATAATTCATTCAGAGAGAAGAACCTGAAACTATCTCCCTGCAGAGAAAGAAGCCAATGAGAAAGCAAATCATTTTGCCCTGAGCAATTCCCAAAAGGTTAGAGATGGAGAAACCAGATGCATATGAAAGGGAGCCTCAGGCAACATAGAACATCAAATCACAGGTATAACCAAGGTCTCCAGGGTCAAAGCCAAAAGTCCAAGGAGGGGAGATTAAAGGAGAGGTAGGAATTACTAGCAGTTAGGATAGACAGAATCCACAATCTAGATGCTCAATTGGGACCCACCAAGAATTTCCATGTCAGAAAACAGTATGCAGGATGAAAAAAGCCTGATCCTAAAAATGCATTTGCTTGCTCAAGGATTCTAAAAGGTAGATTCCCTTCTTTAGAATTAAAATGGTTGCTCAAGAAGCCAAATCATTTAGTCATCTGATAAAGCGTAAATAAATGTCACATTCATTTAAAGTAAAAGCTCTATTAACTAATCTCCATTTAACGCAACTTGCCTGACTTAAATACAATTTTCATTCCCACTGTAAATTAACTGATACCCACATACTTCTGTTCATTCTGCATTGTATATTTACCAAGAGTCAATGAGATTGTTCAAAAACTTCTTTAAGTCAGTTTACATGTCATTGTAGTTACATAATTTAATTACTTCACAAAGCAATGAAATGGAATGCTGAAGAATAGTTGTTTCCATGGGAGCTAAATTGGGACTATTGTTCATGCCTAGCACATGTAACACCTGCACCATGTCTTGTCTCTTCCACAACCTTACTAAAAGGAAAGCAAAGGAAAGGAATAATACAACAGCAAGCAGAAACATTGAAATGACACCCAGGATTTGGAGGCAGATTTATTTACATCAATGGGCACTGATTGTGATCATTCCCAGAATATCAGTCCCTGATCTCTGGTGGTCTGGGGCTTATATTGGATAAGCAAGCAGAAAGTATAGAGACAGAATGGCTTGTCAATTGGGGATTGGTTTATACAATGTGCATCATAGTGACCAACTCTGCATCACAGTGACCAGCCATTTCAAGAGACAAGAGACAAGAGCAACTGGATCTGGAACAGGAATGATTACCTGGGTAACTAACAAACTGAAGTATACTGGCTGGGGGGAAGCATTTTCTGATACAATAGAAGGGCATAAAACCACAAGAGCAAATAACATGAGAGAAGACACCATTGTTAAATAAATCTTGCAGGAGACTATTGAGGAGTATTGAGCTAAGCTCCTACACTAGGTGCCAACCCC